GTGGTCCTATAATAGGATGTTGAATCACATAAAATCAGAATACGTATCACTAACCTCTTTGGTATGTATCATTGACGAAAAGTATAAATATCAATGAATAAAGGATATTGACGAGAGGTAAAGTCGGTGCTACGACTTTTCTGTTGTATTTAACAACTGATATTAATTTCATATTTGTTTTGTAAAATGCCATGTAGCAATTCTACGAGCGTGTCCTTTTAATAGACTGTTTGGTCACATTTGCTTCAATTTACTTTAGTCACTGTAATAGTCCCAGTAATATATTATCCATATTTTTTAATTTTGCATTTACAGGCCTTTTATGTTCCTTTTTACCAAAGACGGAAAAAAATAAGAGAACAGTCTGTGATAGTATACAGGACACCAAAATTGACTAGACTTTAGTACTTACTTTGAGTGTAGCTGACATCAGATGACCAAATACCAATAAGGACTGTCATACGCTCAGAGCAATCTCGGATTATGGCTAAACGAAACATGACAATTCACAAAATCTAAAGATAAAAAACTTAAGAAAGGGTTGGTACCTTCCCGGTTTAACAAGTACCACTGATGTTTTGCTCAAAACTCGTCTGGTTTTCGTGGCCAGAAATGTATGAGTAACCACTTTAATACAAACTTCCTTGTCAAAATGTAAATATGGTTTATGGAAAAGAATTATACAATGTAGTAATTCATGAAACTAAATCCATTTGCGGTACAGCTCTTTTATTGGTGTTCTTTACCCCAAAGCCGGTGGTGAGATCAACTTTTTGCAAAATGAAGACACTATATAACCAGGTACACATCGTTTGTGATGCAACAGCTAATTATTTGTGCAATTTAACTTAAAAATAAACTTATACTTAGATTTGATATTATATTTATTAAACATAATGAAAGTACACAGACTGTATGCGTATAACATTACACTTATTATCATATGTAGATAATTTTATGAATGTGTTATAACAACAAATATGAAAAAAAAATATTTCACAGGCTTCTAGAGGCTCGTATAACACCAATGAATGAATCTCTGTATATAGAATCCTACTATAACATATGACTTCGCATTCTTATTTCATTTTAAGCGTTTTTATGCTGATATTTTAATTTTTTTGAAGTAAAATGAAAGCATCAGAAAACAAACAAAAATATAATATATTGCCCCTAGGTCATGTTTAAAAGGACTATTTATGATCCCTTTCATGATTTGAACAACAGTATGGTAGGATCTGGTACAGTTTCTGCATGTTGCACCCATCAATCAATTCGTGATAAAACATAGTAAAGCATGAAATCATCTTGTCATAACTTGTATGATTTTTATGATTAAAAATTAGAAAAAAATTGACAGTTGTTAGCTGTTTAAAAAACTGAGAGAAAGATAAGATATATTATTAGATCTAATAAGGAGACACTGATATAGTTACTGGAGGTAGTTATGACAGCAAAGCAAGATCGGCCAATAACACAATCCTGCTGAAATCGTTAATCAATTATACATGATCAGCTAGACAAGATCTACAATTCAGTCAACATGTGCGAAATCGTCAGTCGACTCGTTAAAGCAGTCATTGTTCCGACCATGTCTACTAAGTTTTTGTGTTACTGCCTATCATTTTAAAACTACAATAGATGGAGCGAAACTTTAAAATTCAAAAGAAATATAAAAGATAAGATCTACAATTAGATTAAGTTGCCAATTATCATCTTTCAATAGTTATATGCTTGTTACATTATATGAATATACATCAAAATGGTAATTGAGTGTAAATATTAATAAAACTAAAATTGTAGTATTTAGGAAAGGTGGTAGAGTTCATTTTGATGAGAAATGGTATTATGATGATAAAGAAATTGAAGTTGTTGATAATTTTACCTACCTTGGTGTACTTTTAAATTTTAATGGCAAATATAATATGTTACAACAGAAATTTTCAGAACAAGGTAGAAAAGCAATGTTTGCTTTAAGAAGAAATGTCAAAAGTATGTTTTTAAATTATGTCACTTTGTTATCTCTTTTTGATAATTATATAAATTATTTATTGAGTTATGCAAGCGAAATATGGGGTGAACATAAAGCCCCGGCAATAGAGAGAGTCCACATATACTATTGTAAAAATATACTTGGTGTAAAATGGTCTACCAGCAATGTTATGATATATCAAGAACTAGGTAGATTGCCTCTTATTTTCACAAGAAAATGCAAGATTTTCAAATATTGGTTTGAATTGCTAAATACTTCTAACTGTATATTGAAAAATTGTTATAATTACTTATATTGCGAATTAGAGAGATGTCCAAATAATAAGTGTAACTGGTTGTATTTTATAAAAAATGAACTGTTTGTTATAGGTTTAGGCAGAGACATATACAAGTATTATATGTCTCTGGTTTAGGTGATGTATGGTATAGCCAAAACCTTATTTCAGACTTGCCTGATGTATATTTTGCTGTCATAAAGCAACGTTTGTATGATTTCCTAAAACAAGAACTTGATGCTCAGTTGCATACTTCTCCAAAATGTTCTAATTATAAATATATGTTAGATAATTTTTGTCTGCAATTTTATTTATGCAAACCAATTCCTAAGGTTTACAAAACATGTATAACAAAAATAAGATTAAGTAGCCACAACTTAGCTATAGAAAATGGAAGATTTTGTGGTATAACAAGAAATAATAGAACATGTACTTTTTGTAAAAACGATATAGAGGATGAGTTTCATTTCATCCTCAAATGTCCATTTTTTCAAGGTTTTAGAACAATTTATATTAAGCCATATTATTGGAAAAAACCATCGATGTACAAATTTATTAAACTAATGAGTTCAAACAATGTAAAAGAGCTGTGTGATCTTTTAAGTTTAGAACCGAAATGTTAAAACAATGTTTATGTATTACTACAACACCTTCTGCTATTCTGTCACATAGTTTGTGTTTATTTATGTATTGTATGTATTATTGATGTTGATGTAATTCAAATGTGTACCTATAGTTTATATAGACTTTGGTAATAAAGATAATAAAGATAATAATATTACCCTCAAATGACGATTTTCTCCCTTCCTGTTTTGGGCAAAAACTATAGAAGATATAGAAAAACTGTAAATAGAAAATTATCAACAATAAAAGATTAAATTCAAATCAACTACCGCATTAATTGTGACCGTATTAAGTATTCGTCACTTGCGACTTTCACTATATATATTTCATATAAAACTAATGATGTATTTTTTTTTCAAAAAAATATTGTAGGGTAATTTCTTGTATTGATTTTAATCAAATTGGTACAAATAGAAGCAGAATTGTCATAAGTTCAGTTTTATATTTGATGTATTTTTGTTGCTAAGCGTTTTGATTTTCTGATGATATAAACACAAGTATTATTTTGTGTTTAGAAATTTCCAATATATTTCAACAAAATTGAATTGTGAAAAATGATTTTAATTATTATAAATATAAAAATAAGATGTGATATGATTGCCAATGACACAAATCTCCACAAGAGACCAAATGACACAGAAATTAATAACTATATAGGTCACCGTACGGCCTACTACAACGCGAGTAAAACCCATACCGCATAGTCGGCTATAAAAGGCCCCGAAATGACAAATGTAAAACAATTCAACGAGAAAACTAACAATTTATGTACAAAATAATGAACGAAAAACAAATATGATATACAGCAACAAACGACAACCACTGAATTACAGGCTCCTGACTTGGGACAGGCATATACAGAATGTGGTGGGGTTAAACTAGTTTGAAGGCGCGCCAACCCTCCCCTAACCTGTAAAATGTTTACATGAGAAGAAAACAAAACCAACTGAAGACAAATCTATGATAAAATAAGAAATAAACTTTAGACAATTCTGCTTCTTGATACTTGGTTTGTAAAAATCCAACCATAATTTGAATGCCTTCAAAATATATTTTTGAAAAAAAATGTGTTTTTATCATGTGAAATATATAATTCAAAATTTGGTGACTATGTTGAACGCATCTATCCCATCGAACTAGAGATAAAGGATACAGCAGATACAGTTAAGTCTGCCTCATATCTTGACTTACACCTAGAAATTGACAACGAGGGTAGGTTGAAAACAAAACTTTACGACAAAAGAGATGATTTCAGCTCACCAATTGTAAACCTTCCATTTCTATGTAGCAACATTCCAGCAGCGCCTGCATATGGAGTATATATCTCCCAACTGATACGATATTCCCGGGCTTACCGAATTTGTAATAACACGAGCAACACGACGGGTGCCACATGTGGAGCAGGATCTGCTTACCCTTCTGGAGCACCTGAGATCACCCCCAGTTTTTGGTGGGGTTCGTGTTGCTTAGTCTTTAGTTTTCTATGTTGTGTCTTGTGTATTATCATTTGTCTGTTTGTCTTTTTATTTTTTGGCCATGGCGTTGTCGGTTTGATTTCGATCTGTGAGTTTGACTGTCCCTCTGGTAATTTTCGCCCCTCTCTTTATTCAGCAAATAAATGTAGGTGACGAGTACCTTTGTCCATGTACTGTAGATACTTTGCAAAAAAAAATCCAACCCTTTACTCTTTGAAACCGAAAGGAATCAATATTTGTATAAGGGAGCTACCATTTGATTTTTATGGAGGGGCTAGGATGAAATTTGAAAAAAAAAGGCAGGACAGGAGTTTTGAGTAAAAAAAAAGGCAGGATGAGCAACTTGGTAAAAAAAAAAGGCAGGATGACAATTTGTGTAAAAAAATTCAGGATAAACTAGTAAAAAAAAAGGCAGGACCGAATATAGTAAAAAATAAAAAGGCAGGACAGAAATTACAACTAAAAAAAAAAGCAGGACAAAATTTTTCATCCTAGCCCCCCCCCCCCCCCCCCATAAAAATCAAATGGAAGCTCCCTAAAGGCTAAATAATTAAACCAAAAAAATATTATGTCCCCTGAAAGGAAATGAAAAAATCGGAAATGTGGTCCTACAGCAACATTTATTTAGAAAACCCGGAAGTATGGTGGCTACTTTCACTTTCGTTTTGTTGACTACCTATGTTGCACCTTTTCTTGGTTTTTACTGATATCAGGTAACTGACATTTAATATTGTGAACTTTGGGGTTAATGGAAAAGACTATTTCGCTTAACAGTCACCTAAGCCTAAATTTATATAGCACATATTATACGCTATTTTCCTCCAATTTTTTAAATTTTTTATCATTTATTGCTAAATTCACAATATAAGTGACACATGTGGCAGTTGCAAATAAAAGCTTTTTCGTTAGTTAATTGAAATTAATTGCCTAAAAATATAAGAATATCCATACCCTCATGAATTGATGGATTGCTGCAGTGTTAAGATCAGTTTCAACTATATGTGTACTTCATCATAGATCCCACATATACACAGACATTATTCTAACATTATTACCCCATTATTTGTTTTGTCACATTTCTTATAACTTTCCCTGAGTTTTGACATGCCAGGTTAAACCTCATTTTGGAGTTCTTGTTATTCCATCTGTTTTCACTCTCCTGTCTTTATTCATTTAACATTTTTGATTCAAATTCATTTTATTTGGAACAAAGAATAAACATATTAATGCAAACAACTTTTCTATTGAATGTGATATATTAAAATTTAGAGTTAATCAAATGTGAAATATTTTAAGGCATCATATTGGATAGTTTTGTATCTGAGAAGCTGATTGTTGATAATATTAAAACTGTAAACTGCAAATGTGATAGTAAAACAAGATCACAAAAAAGCCCTTATAAAAGAAACTTTTGAAAGACTCCTCATAGGAGTTATTGTCCTTAAATGACAATTTTTACTAATTTTTTTAATTTTGCCAATTATCTTGTAAAATATGATCATGATGATAGATATAGAAACTATATTTAGCAAAAATTATCAGCCATACAAAATCTAAATATGACATATATCAATATGATGAAATCATTGGATGAGTCCTTAAGGAGATATTGCCCTTAAATGATAATTTTTATCCATTTATTTTGCATTTTAGGAAAAATCTTTAGAAGATAGAGAGAAACTGTAAATAGAAAAAAAATGAATGATCAGTAATACAAGTTCAACAAATAAAATATTTTTGTCATGAATTAATAATTCTAGTCTATAATGTTGAAGAATGGCAGTTGTTGAAGATGCATATAGATCCAGTTGAGCTTTATAGGCTCTTTAGAGATACTCTATTTATACAAATATAAGGATTGAAAATAAAATTGTTTCTACAATTTAGAAAATATTATGTAAACAAGGAATTATTTGAATTTGGAATAATTTTGAAATCTGGAAAATTGATCAGAAAAGTATGATGAAAACTAACCCAACTAAATAGGGTTAGCCATGCAGGCATGGCTAAGGTTAACTTTACTTTCACTGATATTTCGGTATGAACTAACTAACACCCTATAGCCATACATGCATGGCTAAGGTTAATTTTACTTTCACTGATATTTCAGTATGAATTAACTAACTCCCTTTGTGTGCATGGCTAACCCTATTTAGTTGGGTTAGTTTTCATCATACATTTCTAATCATTTTTCCAGAATTCAAAATTATTCCAATTTCAAATAATTCCTTGTTTGTACTGCATTAATTCAATGTCACCTTGATTATGCATACAATGTGCTTGTTGGTATGAAGGTTTTTCCAAGAAGCTGAAAGACAAGCTACTTCTATTTGTATATATTTCTTTTAATACCTGAACATAGAAATTGGTACAAACACAAAGAATTAAACTGAGAGAATCTTATGAAAATCAAGGTACTACGATTTGAATGAGACATTGGACATGTCCTAAATCATGTGATTCAAAATAAAAGCATCAACATGATCAATACTGATATGTTGTTTGCTGTTAAGATATTAAGATATATTATTGTACAAAAATAACTTAACATCTAAAAAAAAATGTGACAAACTGTATGACAGGTTTAATGTATGTGGATTTACCTGACTGACAGATAGGGTTATTTTTTGCTATGCAGCAGTTTTCACAGTAATTTTTGTCACAAGAACATATATTCATTGGAAACATACAACAAAATGAGGTCATTTGTCTTGCAGGGAAATGAAAAGCAGTATCTTTATAAATTCAACACCTACTGTAAATATATAGATATTAATTTTCTGTTGACCTTTTTTGGGGAAACATTAGAAAATTGTGAAGATTGAGATACAGAAGACTTACTAATTTCTTAATCACAAATATTGTTGACTGAATAATCACATTATGATATCAAATATATGTCATTATACTGTCACAAAACATATGATGAATATTGATATAATTGCTAAATACTTTTGGGGAAATAAGACAAAAATACGTAAAAATAGTAATTCCAAACCTAATAAGGGGTCTCTTTCATTGCCACATCTTACCTTTAGTATTTTAAATATATTTTGTTATTGTTACAAGTTTTATTTGTGTTAAGAAGGTTTACCTTTAAAACTGCAAATTTAAGCTTTTAGACAAAAACTTTTATTCAAGCCAAAAAAATATAATATTTATTATCATATTGCAATACAACACTATCTGTACAGTCAGTTACCACTGTTTTGAAATTTATTATGCATCTTATTTTTTATACGGCCGCAAAAAATTTTTATGGTCGTATATTGGTATGATGTTGGCTTTGTCGTCGTCGTTGTCGTCGTCGTTGTCGTCGTCCGAAGACACATTGGTTTTCGCACTCTAACTTTAGTTTAAGTGAATGGATCTCTATAAAATTTTACCATAAGGTTCAATACTACAAAAGGAAGGTGGGGATTGATTTTGGGGGTTATGGTACCAACAGTTAAGGAATTAGGGGCCAAAAAGGGGCCAAAAATAAGCATTTTTGTAACTTCCAGACATAACTTGTGTGTTAGTGTATAGATCTCTCTGACATTGTACCACAAGGTTCCATATCACAAAGGGAATGCTGGGATTGATTTTGGGGGTAATTGCCTCCAAATTTTAGGAATTAGGGGCCAAAAAGGGGCAAAAAACAAGCATTTTTCTAGTTTCATGACAATAACTTGTGTGTAAGTGTATGGATCTCTCTGACATTGTACCACAAGGTTCCATATCACAAAGGGAATGCTGGGATTGATTTTGGGGGTAATTGCCTCCAAATTTCAGGAATTAGGGGCCAAAAACAAGCATTTTTCTAGTTTTATGACAAAAACTTATGTGTAAGTGTATGGATCTCTCTGACATTGTACCACAAGGTTCCATATCACAAAGGGAATGCTGGGATTGATTTAGGGGGTGATTGCCTCCAAATTTTAGGAATTAGGGGCCAGAAAGGGGCAAAAAACAAGTATTTTTCTAGTTTCATGACAATAACTTGTGTGTAAGTGTATGGATCTTTATGAAATTGTACTACAAGGTTCCATATCACAAAGGGAAAGCTGGAATTGATTTTGGGGGTAATTGCCCTTAACGTTTAGGAATTAGGGGCCAAAAAGGGGCCAAAAATAAGCATTTTTCTAGTTTCCAGACAATGACTTGTGTTCAAGTGTATGGATCTCTCTGAAATTGTACTGCAAGGTACCATACCACAAAGGAAAGGCTGGGATTGATTTTGGGGGTAATTCCCTCAAAATTTTAGGAATTAGGGGCTATAAAGGGGCAAAAAAACAAGCATTTTTCTAGTTTCAGGACAATAACTTGTGTGTAAGTGTATGGATCTTTATGAAATTGTACTGCAAGGTTCCATATCACAAAGGGAAAGCTGGGTTTGAGTTTGGGGGTAATTGCCCTTAACGTTTAGGAATTTGGGGCCAAAAAGGGGCAAAAAAACAAGCATTTTTCTAGTTTCCAGACAATAACTTGTGTTCAAGTGTAGGGATCTCTCTGAAATTGTACTGCAAGGTACCATACCACAAAGGGAAGGCTGGGATTGAGTTTTGGGGTGATGAATCATAAGGGGGTTCAAAAAATTTGGGGGCGGATTTTTTTTTCCTTTTTTTTCTTTAAAATTTTCCATTTTAAATTGGTTATATCTGATTTATATATAAAAGCAAATAATAATGATATGGTTTGAATAGGTAAATTAAAAATTTTTAAGTTCTTAGACCACATTCATTCTGTGTCAGAAACCTATGCTGTGTCAAATATTTAATTACAATCCAAATTCAGTGCTGTATCAAGCTTGAATGTTGTGTCCATACTTGCCCCAACTTTCAGGGTTCAACCTCTGCGGTCGTTTCAAGCTGCGCCCCAGCGGAGCATTTTATTAACATACAAAACAAAGTATCATTTGGATTCATCTATGAATTATTAAATATTGAAAGATTTTCTGAGAACTTAGAATCAATTTAATGACTTAATAATGATGATGCAAACACACAAGGTTTTTTGCATCGCTCATGCTGGGATTAGACCTTTTTGATGAAGATATATTCTGCTTCAATTTAAAATTTCTAAAGGAATACTATCAATCATTATGATTGTTAATTAAACAAGTCCTTAGTCACAACTTTAATAAATTAAGCTAAAAGTTAACAGATATGAAATTTGAATTTGAGTTTATTTTTCTGATTTTAATCTATTTGACTCAATATAGGGCCAAACACTTTATTTGGCCAATGCATACCAACACTATTTCAAACTTTTTTTCAATGTCATTAAATCTTGATACCAAAGTTTATAAATATAAAAGTACCTGATCAGAATGAGATGGACATACGGTTGATAGGATAATGCATTTTGTAATATGTGGTAATTAATCATTCTTTATGCTCCTCATTCATGATGAAGCATACAAAGATAAAATTTTATATCTACATGTATGCCTACGCACAAATATGAGATATGGACAACACCAAAGTCTGACATTTTATTAAGTTTATTGGTTTGTATTTTTGGTAATATGAATTGGAAATAAGAATCTCTACTGAATACATAAATGTTTTTCTGTACCACAAAATCCATCAAAACTGGTATATCTAGACATAATGAATAAATGGAGTAATAACTTTAAAGTGGACTTAAGGTTGCTTTTTTAATTCTCTATGTATGTTTTTTAATTCTCAGTTGAATAACAATGTCTGAAGAAAAAAAAAAGAAAACAGTACTTGTAACAGGTGAGTTTATAAAATCTTGTCTGTTTTTTTATTGATTAGTGGTAAAACTTTTTCCTTTTTGTGTCATGTGGCATTTAAAATCTTGTATACATATACATACATGAAATCGTTTTTTTCTTGCCTTGATAGAGTCGAAAAGCATAGGTATGCTGTTTCTGGTGGCGGCATCAACAATGTATTAGTTTGTGATTAGGTCAGTTTATGGGGAACAGTCTTGTGGTAGGTCAATGATATTTGGTATACAGTTGTATTAGCATTAGCGAATTTAATTTCTATGGAGAGTATATGACCATGCATCCTCAGTCATGGTCTATTGACTTTGAAACTTTTGATTAGTTATTTGTATTAGTTTGTGATTACGTCAGTTTATCTGTTTATGGCGAACCACTAGTGGTAGGTCAATGATATTTTGTATGCAGATGTATTAGCATTGGCACATCTCATTTCCTTGGAGATTTTTTGGCCCTGTACCTTCAGTTATGGTTCATTGACTTTGAATATTTTGCATAACTTACATGTTAATTTCAGCATTTGCATTCTACTGTCAAAATTAACAAAAAGGTGAGACATATCTATTTGTTAGTATTATAAACATTTACAACTAAATGCAAGGGTTCAGAATTATTAAAAAGGAGAATTAAGGGGGTTCAAACTGGAAAAATGTTGAACTTCCAGTCTAGCTTACTTTCAATAAAATGCTACGAGGGGGCGCAGCATAGGTGTCTGACACAAAATGAATGTGGTCAAAGAACTGAAAAATTTTAAATTGGACTTTTAGCTATTATGTTCAATATCCAAAATCTAAATACACAGTTAGATTCAGCATATCTAAGTTCACCAAGAATTTAATTTATTTATTAATTAATGGACAATATTAGCTAAGTTTCAAAGGGTTTCACTTCATCAAAAAATAAATGGAGAATGTGTCCCCATGGACACAGATGATGCCCCCGCTTGCATACAACATTATAAAGGATAAAGGGACATAACTCAAAAAAGATAAAAGTGACGCTACCCAAATTTGTACTTGATCTGAGTTTTAAGGTAATAACTATTGTGTCTAGGTTTCATAATGTTTGGTTGAGGCAAACTTAAGTTACAGAACGGAAACTACAAATTTTGCAATTTTTTTATTTATCAAGGGGCATAATTCGATAATGATTAAAGTGACGCTATCAAAATTCAACTTGATCTGTGTTTTGTGGTAAAAAGCATTGTGTATAAGTTTCATAACATTTGGTTGAGGCAACTTAAGTTAGAGAACGGAAACTACAAATTTTGCAATTCTTCCAGTTATAAAGGGGCATAATTCGATAATGATTAAAGTGACGCTACCAAAATTCAACCTGATTTGTGTTTTGTGATAAAAAGCATTGTGTATAAGTTTCATAACATTTGGGTGAGGCAACTTAGTTTAGAGAACGGAAACTAAAAATTTAGCATTTTTTCCCATATATAAAGGGGCATAACTCGAGAATGGTTAAGGTGACCCCACCAAAATTCAAACTTGATCTTTATTTTGTGGTAATTAGCATTGTGTATAAGTTTTATAACATTTGGTTAAGGCAAACTTAAGTTATAGAACAGAAACTAAAAATTTTGCGATTTTTCCATTTATAAAGGGGCATAACTCTAGAACTGTTAAAGTGACCCCACCAAAATTCAAACTTGATCTGTGTTTTGTGGTAATTAGCATTGTGTATAAGTTTCATAACATTTGGTTGAGGCAAACTCAAGTTAGAGAACGGAAACCAATTTTGGGACGTACGTACGTACATACGTACAGACGGACAAAGGTAAAACTTAATGCCCCCACTGCTACGGCGGGGGCATAAATATATATATATATATAAAAAGCATTCTGAAAATTAGTTTATACAGAATAACAAACAAACCTACCATGAAGTTCTTTGAAAATTTCACAAAAAAAAAATTAAAAAAAATTCTAAATTTCATTCTTCATTAATGCAAATTAACTATGACTCTACTTACAATTTCTATTAATTGTGCAATACAGCTCTGAATTTTGATTGTGATTAAATATTTGACAAAGCTTAGTTTCTAACACAGAATGAATGCGGTTTGAGAACTTAAAAATTTGAAATAGAATATTTACCTATTACGGTCAAATATCCAAAATGTAAATACATGGTTAGAATCAGCATATCAAAGAACCCCAAGAATTTGATTTTGATGAAATCAAACAAAGTTTAATTTTGGACCTTTTGGACCTCAATGTGGACCAATTTAATAACGGGGCCCAAAATCCAAAATCTAAATACACATATATATTCAGCTTATCAAAGAACCCGATTTATTTTTTGTTGAAATCAAACATAGTTTAATTTTGGACCCCGATTTGGACCAACTCGGAAACTGGGCCCAAAATCAAAATTCTTAATACATGTTTAGTTCAGCATATCAAAGAACCCCTTGAATTTAATGTTAAAATCAAACTACAAGTAAGTTAAATTTTGGACCCTTTGGACCTTAATGTGGACCAATTTGAAAACCAGTCCCAAAATCAAAAATCGAAATACACGTTCAGATTATGCATATGACGGAACCCCAAGGATTCATTTTTTTTTTAAATCAAACAAAGTTTAATTTTGGACCCTTTGGACCTCAATGTGGACCAATTAAAAAACGAGGCCCAAATTCAAAGTCTAAAGACATGGTTAGATTCAGCATATTAAAAAACCCTAAGAATTCAAGACTTTGAATTAAACCACATTGAAATTGGTCAAGAAATAAGCAATTAATACAAAGTATAGGAAAAGTATTGTTTTTGGCCCGTTTTTTCCTAAACAGTAAACAGTATAAGTTCGGTACTTATACATCCCTCGGATTTCAAATGTTTGGCTTTGAGCGTTCCTGATGAAGGTTAATCCAGAAAAGCGCTTCGGACACATGAAATTATTAAACGTGTTGTTTTCAATTTTTTACGGCCATAACCCCCAAAATGAATCCAGTCTTCCTTTTTTGGTAAGGAACCTTGTGGTACAGTTTCATAGAGATCCATAGAGTTATACTCAAGTTATTGTTCTGAAACAAGAAAAATGTTTGTTCTTGGCCCCCTTTTGGCCCCTTATTCTTGAACAGTTAGGCAATAATCCCAAAATCAATCCCAACCTGTTGTTTGTGGTATGGAACCTTGTGGTACAATTTCATAGAGATCCATGAACTTATTTTCAAGTTATTGTCTGGAAACCATACATGTATGTCTTCTGAAGACGACAACAACACTGACAACTTCATAACATTATATGACACAAAACTTTTGCGGTCGTATAAAAAAGGGATTACCAAAAACTGTCACTCAGAAGTTTGCCTAGTGGGGAGACCCAACCCTCATATAAGGTTCCAGAGGTCTTTAGTTTTCCATGTAGTGTTTTGAGGACTGTTGTATGTTTTTTTGTTGTTTTATTCGTTTTTTTGGCACGGTTTCTCTTAGACTTATGAATTTTGATTGTCCCTTTGATATCTTCTGCCTTTTGTTTTGGCAGGTATGTTATGGTGTTGATTGCAGATCTCTTATATGTATTCTTCTAAATTTTTCTATGTTTGATTTGATTTAAAGCTTGTAGAGGTTAACATTGTACAAACACTTGTCTGTCGTTTGTGAGACCATATACTGAACTTGAGATTTTTTTTGGTTTTTGGTAATAATATTCCAGAATTTTTTTTTTACTATTTGGAACTTATATTATGAAGGAACTTCTATTTCGTGACAGTGTTAGGTTTTTGTTGCACTGAAGTTTACCCCCAAAGCCTCTTTTAATTGATATTCTGACTGAAATGATCACTATTATGTAGCATATAACTTGCATTATGTCTCATGTAACTTAAGGATTAAAAATGAAATAAGGTCTTACTTGTGTTGCCGGTATGTTTAATATAATTTTCTGTTATTGTTGTAAAGGGAAATATGATAAATCAAACAGATTGAATATATACTACATAAAATGTGTTTAATTTCAGCAATAATTTAACTGCTTTTTTCGTGGTAGTTTGTTTGTCCTAAGTGCAAGAGATATTATATTCAATTCTATGGCATGGACTATGCAAAGACCTTTAATATCAAATTTGTTATTTCTTTACTAAGCAAACTATCAATACGAACTTTAAGACTGGTAGGATCAGAATCAAAAATGTATCCATGCCTTTTGGAATGATACCATGTGATATAGCATTTTAAAAATTTGGCTGAGCATGTCCATCTAGTATAAAGCAATATTTAAATTCATATTAAATTAAGATGTTCTCGTTCTGAATAATTATATGTGTTGTTATTGTAGCTTGTTGTATTTGCAACATCTATTTCATCATCAATGAATTGAATGATACAGTATAAATAATATTAGACTGAAAAGGTATAATAGTGTATTAAGAATTACATGTACTATTGTGTGAAATCAGCATTTCTAACATAAAATAAAAGAACAGAGTTCCAATGTCCCCCGCGTTTTAACATATTTTATCTGTTCTGTCCAAGGACAATAACTAAAAAAAAATTTTGTTTGTTCTTTAAAACTTTTTAAATTATCTTACTAGAGAGTTGAAGACTTGAGAGCAATTTCTGATATATTTAATATTTCCAAGGGAAACTCATTAAAATATTTGATAGCACTTATTTTTGAAATTGTCTAAGATATTGCTGTTAAATACCTTTGATATAAATTTGATAAAAATCGGGCAAAAATTGTACTTGCGAGAGCACTTGCAATGCAATTTTCCATATAATCAATGTTTCCAAGGGGCATAACTCTTTTTAAAAATAATTGATTAGCACTGATTTTCGAACTAGTTAAAGACATTGCAGCTGATATAAACCTATGATATAAGTTTCATAAAAATCTGGCAAGAATTGTACACACGAGAGCGCTAACGATGCAATTTCCCCAATTATTAATGTTTCCAAGGGCATAACTCTTTTAAAAATAATATATCAGCACTGATTTTCAAACTCGTCTAAGATATTGCTAATATTAACCTATGATATAAGTTTCATAAAAATCTGAAAAGAATTGTACAAAAAAAGCTCTAACGATGCAATTTTTCCATATAATGATTGTTTCCAAGGGCCATAACTCTCTTAAAAATAATTGATCGGCAAAGATTTTCGAACTCGTCCAAGACATTGCCAATATGAACCTATGATATAAGCTTCATAAAAATCTGGCAAGAATTGTAACGTTAGAGTGCTAACAAGGACGGACGGACAGATACCCTGTATTTCTATGTCCCCCGCAACGCATTGCGCGGGGGGACAATTACAATCCCACTAATAAATGCACGCTTTATTTCTGAATTTACAGTATAATCATTTTATTTTACTGAATCTTTGACAGTCTTTCTTTCTGGAGTCCAAATATTGTTCACATTTCTATCTGGATATATTTCAAAGTTACTTTTGTCTTCAGATAGTTTATGAAAATTAAACCACAAAATAAGTACACTAAAATAATGTTAAAATATAAGTTAAAGTCTTAAAATTCTGGTGATTTCACCCAGGAATAAAATGATTCAAATGTCATATTTCAACACCCTGTTATGGTCACCTCATGTATCTTTGCTTCATTTGTTGTACTGCCTTTAGTTCTACCACATCCTATATATAGTTGTCCTTTTGGTGTGAATGCAAGAGTACATGGATAAAGTATTACATTGTTCTTGTTGTGATAAGCCATTAGATGGCCATCATTGTCAAGAATATGTAATGAATGTGTATCCTTATCAGGTACTATGACATTGTCTTTTGGTGTTGTCACTATACTGACTGGTCTGAATTGTTTGTCCTTGTTGATCTCTGTATGTCCTGTATATGTATTGATTATATTCCCTCCCTGTCCTAACACCACCACTCTACCACTGTCACTACCAGGGTGACAATCTGCCACATGTATATTACCATTACTTGTACTGGTTATAATCTTTGGGTAATTAAATATAGGTTGATTTTGTTGATCTAATGTTCATATACAGTCTTATGTTCTCCCTTCTCATTCATCACAAACACAGCTCTTCTTCCTAGTTTCTCACTATAACCTCCTACAACTACTTTATTACCACTGGTAATGTGGATGGCAGTAGCAAGGAAAGGCTTCACATTATATACAGTATCAGTCAGTTTACCAGTGGTAATATTCAGTTGTTGTAGTTTGGATCCACCAGTTGACAAGAGGACATCATCTGATTGAAGTATTGCCATGCCATAGACTTCTGTATTTAAACTTGATAATACTTTTAGTTTATTTCCATCAGGTTTAACTCTCTTCACTTCATTGTCGATATCACAAGCTATCCACATTGACATATCCTCATTTATACAAGGACATAGATATGTTACTACTGAGAGATCAGTTTGAAATGTTTTATTAATAACCGTATTAACAATAAGCTCCATTGGTTGTCTGACATCACTTTGTAATACTCCAACATTAGACTGCATGACCTCCCCTGGTATGAATTTAGGAATAGTATTGTAAGTGTCTGTTGTTTGTACTGTAGGGACAGCAATAGACTTTTCCATCTTTCTGATATTGTGGAAAAATTTAGAAGCATCTGTACATAGGAAAAATTGCAACATATGTTTTCATATGTTTAACATATGTTTTTCATATGTTTGAAAACATATGTAAACATATGTTTAGGCCCGACATGAAAACATATGTTTTCGAACATATGAAAAACATATGGAAAACATATGAAAAACATATGTTTTTAAAATCATATGAAAAACATGTTTTTCATACATGTAAACATATGAAAAACATATGTTTTTCATATGTTTTTTACAAACATATGTTTTTCATATGTTTTCATACCTGGCCTAAACATATGTTTTCATATGTTTGTCCCAAACATATGTTTTCATATGTTTGGCCCAAACATATGTTTTCATGTGATTTTATCTTGGTCTTAAATATATATTTTTTATATGTTTTTAATTGTTCAAATGCATTTATTTTCTCATAGATTCTAAACATGGTTTTTATATATATGTATTTTTTTTGCGATAGGTTTTTAAGGGTAATGTTTTGATGTTTTTTAATATGTTTTTCTTTAATTTGTTATCTTTTTTTTTCTGTCAGGAACTAATTTTGAGTGTAAATACTTCATTGTGATGAGTTGTTGCTTTAAAAAGTAAAAAACCCAAATTACCAAATTCCACAGAAAATACATGGCAAAATCAAAAGCTCAAACAAATAAAAAACAATAAGTGCTCCATAATTTTTATATAAAGTAGAATTTTTTTTTATTAAGTTGTTGTCTCTTCTATTTTCATATTTTTGTCTCTTTGACATACATTGTACCATATTTCTATTGTCTATATTCTATTTTCATATGTGTGTCTCTTTGACATACCCCATTTCTATTGTCTATATTATATTTTCATATGTGTGTCTCTTTGACATACTCCATTTCTATTGTCTATATTCTATTTTCATATGTGAGTCTCTTTGACATACCACATTTCTATTGTCTATATTATATGTTCATATGTGTGTCTCTTTGACATACTCCATTTCTATTGTCTATATTCTATTTTCATATGTTTGTCTCTTTGACATACTCCATTTCTATTGTCTATATTATATTTTCATATGTTTGTCTCTTTGACATACTCCATTTCTATTGTCTATATTATATTTTCATATGTGTGTCTCTTTTACATACCCCATTTCTATTGTCTATATTATATTTTCATATGTGTGTCTCTTTGACATACCCCATTTCTATTGTCTATATTATATTTTCATATGTTTGTCTCTTTGACATACCCCATTTCTATTGTCTATATTCTATTTTCATATGTGTGTCTCTTTGACATACTACATTTCTATTGTCTATATTCTATTTTCATATGTGTGTCTCTTTGACATACATGTGTACTCCATTTCTATTGTCTATATTATGTTTTCCAATGATGTATGTGATATTTCTATTGCTATATCACCATACACAGATATGTAATTGTCTACACTGCTGGCTATTACTGGTGCATGTGTATGCAGCTGCTTTTTGGAAATATCCTGTATGATTAAGAAAGACAACTAGATTGACTTTGAGCTCAATATTGTATTAATCAAAAATTAATGTTCTTTGGTTCTGTTTCTTTACTTTTCAGTTCCTGCAAGTAGAAATAAAAGAACAGAGTTTCAATGTCCACCTAGTTGCACATTTTTAGCTCACTTGGCGTCTGTCGTCGTCGTCGGGATTCGTCGTTAACTTTTTACATTTTTAACTTCTTCTATAGAACCACTGAATGGATTGGAACAAAATATGGCATGAATGTTCCTTATGAGGTGCTGACCAAGTGTTGTTACTTTGTTGCCGATCCATCATCCAAGATGGCCGCCACTGGGGGACTTAGTTTAACATAGGACTCTATGGGAAATACATACAAATGTCTTCTTTTAGAGAACCACTGAATGGAATGAAACCAAACATAGCATGAATGTTCCTTATGAGGTGCTGACCAATTGTTGTTACTTTGTAGCCGATCCATCATCCAAGATGGCCACCAGCAGGGGGCTTAATTTAACAAAGGACCCTACGGGAAATACATACAAATGTCTTCTTTCAGAGAACCACTGAATGGAATGAAAGCAAACATAGCAATATTAAACCAAATTTGGCCTCAAACATTATTATAAGTATCTGTTATGATTTTTATATGATTTCAAAAACCCAAGTAGAGTGAGGTGAGCGACACAGGCTCTTGAGAGCCTCTAGTTTGTCTATCAAGGGGCAATATTAACATGATTAAAAAAAAACAACATGTTTTTTTGTTCTCAAAAATATTTATAAATAAAAAATGTGCTTGGGGGAAAAAAAGGGTTCTTTTTCTTGTATACTAAATATTTCAAACTGACCTTCAAGGGCATTACTATAATAGTATACTATAAGTTTAATAAAAAAAATTGAGAGCATTTACGAGGCCATTTTCAATAAATTCAATATTTCCAAGAGGCATAACTCTTTTGAAAAAATTCAATCGGCCATCATTACAACTGCCAGTTGGACATCTACACCTTACAATAATTCCATACACCAAATATAGTAAGTATAACTTATTGCTTATAATACCTGAGATATTGACTTGACCACGAAAACTTTCTGACAGAGTAGACAGACACTAGCTATAGGACCTTGCAAGGTACCCACATACTAGGTAAATAGAAATATCCTATTACCATGATTACTATAAATAATATTAATAAGAGAGAAATTAACATTACAAAAAAACTTTAACCACAGACTGAACCTCAACTTTAGGACAGCGACGCCGCCCCTGGCAGAATCTAGGATCACTGTCTCGCTTTCATGAAATAAATTTGCAAGCTTGACAAAAAGCAGAACATGTATTTCAGAAATTGAAATTCTATGCAATTATAAATACTTATATGCTGTTATGGTCCTACATATTCTTGTGTGTTCAATATTTGGCACAAAGTCATGCTTTCTTAGACTGTTTGAAATGACCAATGTTTTGTTGTTACATTAATTGATTAAATCTGTTGAAGGTGAATTGATAGATATTTTAGTTTGGGAAAACATAATTTTTGCATCTTTTATTATTTTGTTATTTCTTTTTAAGTGCTTGTTGATGAGTCCAGCCCTTTCAGGATGATTTTGACTTTTGTTTCTTATGTTGGGTGCTGTCTGCCATACTGTGTGTAGTTTTATTTTTTTCATTGGTTCACATTTTTTCATCCTTATACAAGTTATAGCCATAATAGGTTACTTTATGGTATGGATTTTGATCATTGTTTATGGCTGTACAGTGACCAGCAAATGTTTACATCTTCGTCCTTTGGTTTTTTAATTGATAGTTGTCACATTGAGAATCATACATGTACCTCATCTCCTTATACATGTTATATCTATATGCTGGTTCATAAAAAATCTTAAAAGGAAATTATTCAATTGTTATATGTTTGAAAACTCTTTCCTATAATGCAAAAACAATAATTGATTGATTTTTCTAGCTTATTTTAATGTTCAGTGGCAAATATTTTATGTATATTCAAGACGAGAACAACTTTTAAATATACAATTCATAATACATTGTAATATAAGCAAATGCTTTATCTTAACTTCTGACATCTCATGTGTGTGTGTGTGTGTGTGGAGCAGAAGAAGGATTCCTTGATAAAATTGAGAATGGAAATGGGGAATGTGTCAAAGAGACAACAACCCGACCATAGAGCAGACAACAGCCGAAGGCCACCAAATTGATGCATACTTGACATCAGAAAGACATAAATAAACAACAGTATACATGGTATACATGCTGTAACATGTACAATTACCATTGAAAAAGTTTTAAATAGAAAACATTAAATTATTTAAATTAACTGCAATTCTACAGATGAACTTACTTTGATACCAGTTCTTTTTGCCTGACATCCGCACCTACATGTACACCAGTGATTCTAATACTGCACTTTCCTTTCATTTGGTAACCATGGTAACAAGCTAAAATTGTAAATCTTAATTTAATCCAGAAATCCAGACAAAAACAAGATAATTTTTGTAGACGTAGTATGAACTGTTGCTCACTAATTTATATTTTTACTTTTGAGTGAATGGAAACAAATATGTAACAAACAACAAAAAGATCAACAGTGTAACTAATATTAATAATATATGTACAGCCTAAGCCCGTCTCAGTATAGAATGAACTTTTTCTAATATAAAATGATCTATTTTGCTGTCTACAGTTTAAAATAAAATGCTCCCCAGGGCGCAGCTTGATAAGACCAACAGATGGGGCAAGTATTGACACACTATTCAAGCTTGATACAGCTCTGAATTTGGTTTGAGATTAAATATTTGACACAGCATACATGGCATAGGTTTCTGACACAGAATGAATGTGGTCTAAGAACTTAAAAATTTTAAATTAGACATTTACCTATTATGGTCCAATATCCTAAATCTAAATACATGGTTAGATTCAGCATATAAAAGAACCCCAAGAATTCAATTTTTTGATGAAATCAAACAAAGTTTAATTATGGACCCTTTTGACCTCAATGTGGACCAATTTGATAACGGAGCCCAAAAATCAAAAATCTAAATACATGGTTAGATTCAGCATATCAAAGAACCCCATATATTCAATTTTTGTTATACTCAAACAAAGTTAAATTTTGCACCTGATTTGGACCAACTCAAAAACTGGGCCCACAATCAAACTAAGTTTTATATTGGACCCTTTGGACCTTAATGTAGACCAATTTGAAAACAGGACCAAAAATTAAAAATCTAAATACACGGTTAGATTTGGCATATCAAAGAACCCCAATAATTCAATTTTTGATGAAATCAAACAAAGTTTAATTTTGGACCCCGATTTGGACCAACTTGAAAACTGGGCCCAAAATCAAAAATCTAAATACATGTTTAGATTCAGCATATCAAAGAACCCCAAGAATTCAATTTTTGTTAAAATCAAACTAAGTTTAATTTTGGACCCTTTGGACCTTAATGTAGACCAATTTGAAAACGGAACCAAAAATTAATAAAATGCTCCGCAGGGCGCAGCTTGATACAACCGCAGAGGTCGAACCCTGAACAGTTGGGGCAAGTATGGACACAACATTCAAGCTTGATACAGCACTGAATTTGGATTGTGATTAAATATTTGACACAGCATAGGTTGCTGACACAGAATGAATGTGGTCCAAGAACTTAAAAAATTTTAAATTGGACATTCACATATTATGGTCCAATATCCAAAATCTAAATACATGGTTAGATTCAGCATATCAAAGAACCCCAAGAATTCAATTTTTGATGAAATCAAACAAAGTTTAATTTTGGACCCTTTTGACCTCAATGTGGACAAAGTTGATAACGGGGCCCAAAAATCAAAAATCTAAATACATGGTTAGATTCAGCATATCAAAGAACCCCATATATTCAATTTTTGTTGAAATCAAACAAAGTTTAATTTTGGACCCCGATTTGAACTAACTTGAAAACTGGGTCCATAATCAAAAATCTAAATACATGTTTAGATTCAGCATATCAAAGAACCCTAAGAATTCAATTTTTGTTAAAATCAAACTAAGTTTAATTTTGGACCCTTTGGACCTTAATGTAGACCAATTTGAAAACGGAACCGAAAATTAAGAATCTAAATACACGGTTAGATTCGGCATATCAAAGAACCCCAATAATTCAATTTTTGATGAAATCAAACAAAGTTTAATTTTGGACCCTTTGGACCTCAATGTGGACCAATTTAAAAACGGGGCCCAAATTCCAAAAACTAAATACACGGTTAGATTCAGCATATTAAAGAACCCCAAGAATTCAAGAATAAAACCCCATTGAAATTGGTCAAGAAATAAGCAATTTATACGAAGTATCTTCTTTTGCAGTATACTGTGCAATTAAATATTTCTTGCTGTGCAATACTGTACAATTGACAATTTCTTGCTATTGCGCAATAATGTGCTATTGGATATTTCTTGCTATTGCGCAATACTGTGTAATTGAAGATTTCTTGCTATTGCGCAATACTGTGCAATTGAAGATTTCTTGCTATTGTGCAATACATTGTACTGTGCAATTGAAAATTTCTTGCTATTGCACAATACTTATTATATAATAATTTACACATCCTGTTTGGTGTGTATCTCCTACCATATCATTATTATTTGCTTTTAAATATAAATCAGAAATAACCAACTTAAAATGGAAAATTTTAAAAGAAAAAAAAAAAGGAAAAAAAGGAAAAAAAGGAAACCCCCCCCCAATTTTTTTGAACCCCCTTATGATTCATCAACTCAAACTCAATCCCAGCCTTCCCTTTGTGGTATGGTACCTTGCAGTACAATTTGATAGAGATCCATACACTTGAACACAAGTTATTGTCTGGAAACTAGAAAAATGTGTTTTTTTGCCCCTTTTTGGCCCCAAATTCCTAAACGTTTAGGGCAATTACCCCCAAACTCAAACCCAGCTTTCCCTTAGTGATATGGAACCTTGTAGTAAAAATTTCAGAAAGATCCATACACTTACACACAAGTTATTGTCCTGAAACTAGAAAAATGCTTATTTTTGGCCCCTTTTTGGCCCCCAATTTCTAAACGTTTCAGCAATTACCCCCAAACTCAATTCCAGCGTTCCCTTTGTGATATGGAACCTTGAAGTACAATTTCAGAAAGATCCATACACTTACACACAAGTTATTGTCATGAAACTAGAAAAATGCTTGTTTTTTGCCCCTTTTTTGGCCCCTAATTCCTAAAATTTTGAGGCAATTACCCCCAAAATCAATCCCAGCATTCCTTTTGTGATATGGAACCTTGTGGTACAATGTCAGAGAGATCCATACACTAACACACAAGTAATGTCTGGAAGTTACAAAAATGCTTATTTTTGGCCCCTAATTCCTTTACTGTTGGTACCATATCCCCCAAAATCAATCCCAACCTTCCTTTTGTGGTATTGAACCTTGTGGTAAAATTTCATAGAGATCCATTCACTTAAACTAAAGTTAGAGTGCGAAAACCAATGTGTCTTCGGACGACGCCGACGCCAACGTCATACCAATATACGACCACAAAAATTTTTTGGCGGTCGTATAAAAATCTAAATACACGGTTAGATTCCCAATAATTCAATTTTTGATGAAATCAAACAAAGTATAATTTTGGACCCCGATTTGGACCAACTTGAAAACTGGGCCCAAAATCAAAAATCTAAATACATGTTTAGATTCAGCATATCAAAGAACCCCCAGATTTCAATTTTTGTTAAAATCAAACTAAGTTTAATTTTGGACCCTTTGGACCTTAATGTAGACCAATTTGAAAACGGAACCAAAAATTAAAAATCTAAATACACGGTTAGATTCCCAATAATTAAATTTTTGATGAAATCAAACAAAGTTTAATTTTGGACCCTATGGACCTCAATGTGAACCAATTTAAAAACGGGGCCCAAAATCCAAAAACTTAATACATGGTTAGATTCAGCATATTAAAGAACCCCAAGAATTCAAGAATAAAACCCCATTGAAATTGGTCAAGAAATAAGCAAATTATACAAAGTATTAGAAAAGTATTGTTATTGCATGGCCCCTAATTCCTAAACAGTTAGGGTCATAACCCCCAAATTCAATTCCAACCTTCCTTTTTTGGTATTGAACCTTGTGGTACAATTTCAGAAAGATCCATACACTTACACACAAGTTATATTGTCTGGAAACTAGTAAAATGCTTATTTTGACCCCTTTTTAGGCCCTTAATTCCTAAACTGTTAGGACCATAACCCCCAAAATCAATTCCAACCTTCCTTTTGTGGTTTCAAACCTTGTGTTTAAATTTCATTGAGATCCATTCACTGAAACTAAAGTTATTGTCCGGAAACTAAGTGTCTTCAGACGACGCGGACAACAACCACGACGTGAAACCAATATACTACTGCAATTTTTTTTGCAGTCGTATAAAAAACAACAATTAGGCCTTAACTCTTGATATTTAGTAAATCTTGATTTCCTGTTAAATAGGCAAAATTGTTTAAATACACCATTTATAGGCATGTTGTGGAATCTCAATAAATACTTATATAGATGATTGCTTTACTGGTTATCGATAGAATTAATATTTCAAAGTGAAGTAATTCCTGTATAAATAATTTATCCAAGACATTACTGGTATATATAATAAACCGTAGGTATACATTTTTTGTACATAAATATTACATGAATAAACAAAATATTTAAACAAAGTTATCCTTTTCATTACATACCTCTCATCACAAAATAATTATTGCCTGCTGCTCCTTATATGCACTTAAATCAATATGACAATCTATGAATCCATTATATAATCTAGAAAGCAATGCCTCAAATGAATTCTGTTCTGTTGCTTAGATTCTTCTACTTCTTGAAGTACAAAATGTACTTTCATTGAAAATGCTAAAAGAAATAATGTATGACATGTACAAATGTATAATAAAATGAAGTTACAATATTAATATATCTGCCAAATTTATTGCTTTAAATTTTTTTATATGACAAAATTGGCTTATTTTGATCTTTTAAAACAAGAACAACAGATCTAGACTTGCCCTGAAAAAAAAATTAACTATATAAAAAGTATTTAAATGTTCTAATCCATCTTATGTTAATTGTTTATTAAATCCATATGACCGTTGTATGAAGTGATGAATCAAAGTGGTTAAATCTGCTTTGTACAGATCTGATGTCAGATGAGTTAAGCCTTTTCACACCACTATCCCAGGTTAGGGAGCTACCATTTGATTTAGACGGGGGTGGGGGTAGGATGAAAAAGTTTGTCCTGCATTTCCATTTTTCCACTCTATTCAGTCCTGTCTTTTTTTTATTTATAGTTTATCCTGACTTTTGTTTTACATCAATTGTCATCCTGCCTTTTTTGGGGGGGCAAGTGTCTCATCCTGCCTTTTTTTCAAATTTCATCCTAGACCCCCCCCACACACACACACATACAAAACAAATTATAGCTCCCTTAAGGGGAAGGTTTGGCTGCTTTGGCACCAATAAACTAGTCTGACTCCACCACATCCTGTATGTGCCTGTCCCAAGTCAGGAGCCTGTAATTCAGCGGTTCAAGTTGTCGTTTGTTCACTTTGTTGCTGTATATCATATTTGTTTATTTGTTCCTTGTTTTGTTTATAAATCATTACATGTATCAGTCTGTTAGTTTCCTCATTTGCATTGTTTTACATTTGTCATTTTCATTTTAAAAATGTCTTTTATAGCTGACTTTGTGGTATGGGCTTTGCTCATTGTTGAAGTCATCTTGTACCATAACTTATTATACATGTATATATATGTAGTTGTTAACTTTTATGTCATTTGATCTCTGGTGGAGAATTGGACTCTTCTCATTGGCAATCATACATGTACCACATCTTCTTATTTTTATATTCACATTAAAGTATATGTAAAGTAGACCATTCATGCACTCTAGGGTCCACTTCTTATAATGTACAAGGTGATAAGACCTGCCGCTGTAATAGCCTGGGTCATATTTTTCAGCTTTCAGTTTCAGTGTGGAAAACTATCAGAAGTATAATACATGTATGATAAGGCTGAGAATTACTAGATGTTTATTGTTATAGTACTCAGTAATAGTAGTCTCAGACTCAGGATAATTAAGGCTTATTGTACTTGTCATATACAAAGCCCTGTAATTTTCTTAGTTGCAAGTCTTGTTTTGCCTTAAGTTAACATAACATAAGGAATTTGAGCCTCAGATTTAAGCTTTAATCAAATGTGATGATTTTCTCGGTAATGCTAGAATGTGATTCTTGTCCGCTCCAGCATGTCCTGGAATCACTCATAATTAAAATTTGGAAAAGGTGACATGTACATTATTACCTACGCAATGTATGAAAAGGTATATATACATTTTTTAAATCTAAATTAAATGAAAAGGGGGAGTAATTGATCCCCAGGGGCACCCTTATCTATTAATTGTAAAATAGCTACTAATTGCTAAAGAGATTATAAAGTCGTCTGCACAGTGTCATGGTTTTAAAACAACTGACAAACAAATACAAATATCACACACCATAAGACACGATTATACAGGTCTGCATCAGTTAAAGTAATTAAGTTCTGTAGTGACATTAGATAAACAATTTCAATACATTACATCAAGTATTTGATGTACACCCCCCCCCCCCCCCCCCCCCCCCCCATTTTTTCCAAGTTTGTCTTATTGTCTAAAGGGTTTACAAATTATATGGTTATTTGGGATGTATTTGTGTCTTAATCTTGTAACATTCTCATTATGAAATATAAACAGATAAATAGATAATGAAACGGATTACCCAATGCAATTATATTTATATTACAATATCGTTCTCAGACTCAGGTTTACAAATATCTAGTCAAATAGTTTTTCGTGAAAAATAAAGCACACACATCTTCCTGCTTTTATTCAATAATTAAACAAAATGTGCATAATAATATTTACCTTTCGTTGTGCTTTTAGGGTACGTAAAACTATCCATCAAAACAAAAACACTTTCGCTGTTTCGTTGCGTTGACTTTCTATAGATTCTAAATTTTCTATGTTTCGTTCCCCGGTTTCTTCCAGTTTATCGACAAGTCACCCATTTCAATTTATCTGTTTATAATAAATTTTGATTCACCATTTTGAAAGTTCTTTGTATCATCTTATCTCTGTCCATTCAAACTTTTTAAATGACAACAGTGATCGCGTGAGCGTCCATGGATTTGGCGTCATAGAATAAAAATCTGTAACGGTGATAAGATTTCCGGGTTTCCGTATTCGACGTACCATGCAAGCTTTCGTACATTTACGTATATATATATATATATATATGATGGTCTGGAATCAAGAATGGGGTTTAAGAATATAGAAAATAATGACAAAAAGTGCAAAATAAAGAAAAAAAAATAAAGAACAGATACTAAAAAAAGCAGAAATACAGTATGGAATAAAGAATCATAGAGAATAATGGGATTATTGATAAAAAAAAAAAGAATTGAGAACAAATAACAAACTAAATAAAGAATATTTATTCATATTATTATTTAATATTTATAACTCATTCATTTATTTTACTTTATGTTCCATTCAGAATTAGATAGTTCTGCTGTGGGGGTCACATAGCCTCAGGCTGAGGGCTGACATGCTTTTATCATCATGATGATGTGGGATTTAGTGGGAAGAGTAGAAAGTGCACTTTCCTGTTTGAGAAATACACTATATAGATAATGAATGTGATAATTAAATGACAAATTTTGACATTTTCTCAAAACATTTTTTTTAAATGTCCTTTAAAACATATGAAAACATATGAAAATCATATGTTTTTCATATGTTTACAAACATATGTAAACATATTTTTTAAAACATATGAAAACATATGTTTGCTTCCATATGTTTTCATATGTTTCAAAACATATGTAAACATATGTTTGTAAACATATGTTTTTCATATGTTTGGGACAAACATATGAAAAACATATGAAAATCATATGTTTTTCATATGTTTTGAAAACATATGAAAAACATATGTTGCAATTTTTCCTGTGTATTGTTTATAAAATCTTTGATCTCACCTTTGTTGTTTTCAACGCCTTGAATAGACTCAATTATGACGGCAAGATCACATTCAATGTGTTGTAGAACACTTTTACTAGTTTTGTCTAATTCCCTTTCTAACTGTTGAAAGTAATTGTCAATTAATGTTTTCAAAGTTTTCTGATAAGAAAGAATATCTTGCTTTACTTTCATATGCTTCGAGTTTTCTGTTGCTTTAAGTCGGCTCAACTGACCCTTTTTGGTGATCATGCTTGCTTTGCCGTTTTCTAATTGATTTTGTCCTTTCTTCAATATGTCTATTTTCATTTCATATGCTTCACTTATTTCAATTAAATCATTTGCATGTTTCTTGTGAAATTTTGACACACACGTCGGACAAACAAGACTGTCACACTTTTTGCAGAAAAGACAGGAAAATTGTCTGGAATGGTCACTACATTTAATGTTAGTAAAATTCAATTCCTCATCATGACAACCAACATCCTTTATATCTATGATCTTATGATCAATTGCATTTCTGAATTTCAGATGTATTTTATCACAGCAGATATTACACATTAATAGATTACATTCTATACATTTCCATTTGATAACTTTGTCAGTTTCACACAGTTGACAATTGATAGGTATTTGTCCTTTTTGGATGGACTTGGAAGACGCCATTATTAATTTCTGTCTTATTCTTCTGCCTTATTTGCATTACCTATTATTATTGAGATTACCAAGTGAATTTAAATGTTTTTTAGCTACCATCTATATATATAAACTTGATGAATGTGTAAATAGATTGTATATCCACTTCTAAACTTATTCAATGATATAACCTTGAAGTTAATGTATTGACTTGGATGAAAACAATGTGATATTTTATGTTTAAATTAATATAGCTTTTCAACATGCAGACTTTTTTTTAGAGTGGGGTTATTTCTCCCTTTTTTTATATGAAAACTTAATTTATTTGTTTAAAGCTGGAAATAGTATACTCATTTATAAAAAATATACAAAAATGTATATATATATTATGTCCTAGTTTAAAGAATGTAAAAAATATGATGGTATTAGGCTTACAATTCGAGTTTTCATTGTATTTCCAAATGCATGCCTACATTGATGATGGGATAATTGCATCTTTCTTTTTGGTTCATTGTTTGAAAGGGATTTAGGATTAATTACCTTAAGTTTTAGATAAATGGTTTATTACTAAAAAGAACCTCATTCAAATTCTTTAAAAAGTAAAGCTAACTTATAAAAACTAATTGTGATAGCATAAGGCAGGTTAGCATTTTTATATTTCAAAATAAACAGATAAAAAAGGATCAAACCCAGCATTTTTTTATTCCCATATTTCCCAGGTCTGACTTATATTTCCTTCTTTCCCCTACTATTTCCATAAATTTTAACCCATTGTGACACACTAAGGCCCTTACTATAATTATGTTTTACTAAATTACAATTTTCCTTTCTGAGAAAGTGCAAGCTACTTGTTGGCATCTTACTCATTTTATGAGGCATATTTTACAAAGCATATGTTAGTTGATTAATTATGGCTTTAATATAAAATCTATTGTCTAATCTAATGTCTTTACTAATCTACTAACAAAACCAACCAAGTAACATGTACCTGAAAATAATATAAACAAAATTATAGAAAACACAATAGTTAACAATCTAATCCTTTTCTCTTTTTATTAGAAATGTTGATGTCCAAATAATAAAGAAAATAACGACCATTAAAATGTGATAATATCAAGTAGTATTTATCTGATCTTTCTTCTTCTTTTTGATGTTGTCAGTTACACCCTTTACAAAAGGCTTGAATGTAGAAGTCATTTTTCAAAACAACGTAAAATATCTTGTCCCGAAGCACCATGCTTTGTGAGAACATTGGCGATTTGTTCATTAGTCTGAATCCATTTAAGTTCTGTAAGCTCTCCACCCTAAAGTAATTGCTTTATTGCATTGATCTCCACTCTCAATCTCTTCTCTCCAACAGGGTTATCAGAGTATATTGCATGATTAAGGTCCTTGTTGTCAACAAAACAATTCACTGCAATATGCTTCAAATTGTTCCCATTATGCATTAATTCTTTAAAAAGAACTGCTAAAGATATTACACAATCTACACCATCAGCTAAGGCTAAGGCTTCACTTGCCAAAGTACTATGTACAACCCTTCGTAATTTCTTAGACTGCCAAGTGATGGGGTTCACTTTACCACCATCGCCCATCAAAAAGACAACATAGCCACATGGGCTTCCACCATCTGGAAGATTTCCAAATGAAGCATAAGTGAACAACATAAATTTCACATTTTGTCCAAGATTCTGAAAATGCAGTGAAACAGGATCATTTTGCACCTCCCTTACTATCTTATTGACTTTCTTAAGATCTTCAATTGTGTTAGTTTTAATTTTTTGATGAAATGGCAGCAACATCAAAAGTAATGTCTGGACGTGTTTGTCTGGCTAACCATAATAATTGTCCTATTTTTTACCTCAATAGAGTCTGATCTGATGGTGAAAGGGGAGAAGTTTCACTTTGTCTTTATCTATTAAAACAGTCTTCAACATTCTGACATAGTCCTTCTGGCTGAGAACAATATTTTCAGTATCTTGGCTGAGATATAGACCCTAATATCTGAAAGATTCACAGGATTCTTTCCCTACCTTGAACAGATCCCTAATCCTGGATACAACACTTCCTCAAAGGAACTGGATCCTGCCAAAAAAAGTCATCTACATGAACTGCTAAGACACCAGTCAAACATTTTTCATCATTCCAATAGAATACTGCTTAATCAATCTTTGACACTGTTCCTCCACAATCTAGCAATGTTGTTTTAACTTTTTCATACCACTTTAGGATGCATCAGCAAGACCATATACACACTTGTTTAGGCACTAGACTTTACCATTTGCTTTAGCTTCTTTGGGAGGTCTCAAGTAGACTTCTCTTTGCATCTTCTCTCCTTGAAGGAAAGCAGTTTTGAATGTCCACTGAACAAATTGATCATCTTTTATTTGCAATAATTGACAAAATCAGTCGTAGAGACTGCTTTTCACATGCTGGAGAGTTCTTTGGTATCTCATCTAGGCGGTCTTCTTCAAAACTTTTTGCTACCAAGCTAGATTGGTAGCAAAAGGTTTTATATGAAACTCATTCTCCAATTCTTTCATAGTATAAACCCACCTTGTGGATATACAGTTTTGACCATTGTCCTCAACTTCTTCATGCACATTGTGCTTTCTCCAGTTACTAGTATCCAATTCTGTCTCTTTAACATCGCTAAAATCAATATCACTTAACAGTATATCATTATTCTCGCTATCTGACTGGTTTACAACTTTTAAATCATTAATTGTTCTTAGATCAATTGATATCTGGTCACCTCTAATATTTTCTGGCTGACTGTATTCTATATTCTACTATCTCTTCTTATCAGTTGTAGCCTTTCCTGTCCTGCCTAAAATTATTGCTTCTCTTGTATTATTTTCACCAGGAATTTTAAAATTCACCATGTGATCCTTCTTTAATTTCATGCAATCATTTGCCTGTGACTAAGCATTATGTTCCATATTTTCCTCATGTATACCATTTTCTACCTGATTTTCCAAATTAAGGCTGTCTCTATCATCAGATTCAGGACTATCTTCACCATTTAAACTACCATTCTGGCTACCAGCATGACTATCACTTCTATTATAACTATCAGCAACACTGTCGTCTGCTGATCCTTCACCGTTTTCTTGGCCTTTATCATTGTCAGTATCATTATGATAAAGTTCTTCTTCATCACTCTCATAATATGCTAGGTCATGATGAACATCTGATTCAGTGTTGTTGTTATAGGTTGCAGCTTGTGACTTACGCACAGGAGTTGTGTTTGCTGTATGTATATGCGTATACTTTTGTTTTCTTTCAACATCAATGTCTCTTTTAATTCTACGTTCATGTGCACGCACATATGTTCCTCCATATCTTACAAAAACAACTACATTATCTTGACCAATGACCCAACCAGGTCCTTTTCACTGATTGTCTTGAAGGAAGAAAACTATGTCACCATTTTTGAATTTTTCTCCTGAAGACCGGATTTGCTTACGGAGTGCCCTTCTAACTTTCGCAGAGGATTCTGCTACAATAAAAGCTTTTCTAGCTTCATGTAAGCTTCGTGTAAGCCAAATAAATGCTTTTCCATAATATTACTTATTGTAACTTCTAATGCAGAAGGTTTTTTAACTATAGATGGTGGCATGTGTGGGTTCCTTCCAAAAACTATTTGATATGGACTATAGTCATAGACATTCAAAAGACTGTTTTTAGCATGAACTGCCCAACTGGCGGCAGTCTCCCATGAAAGGTTAGAGCTCTCTCTCATTTTATTGATTGTTTCTGTAAGAGTTCCATTGTGTCTTTCCACTTCTCCATTGGACCATGGACTGTATCCTGCTGTCGCTTTTACTGACATGTTCAAATTTTCTGCCATGTCTCTAAATATCAGTGAATTAAATTCACCTCCATTATCTGTGTAAACACCAACTTCAGGTACACCAACCCATATTTGCATGAACTTGTCTACAATAACTTTAGAATCATTTCTTCTGATGATTGCAGCTGCACTCTTTCACAAGTTTCCTTGTAACGACAAAGCTAGACCTATCTTCTTCTTGTCAAGATGAGTCACGAGTTGCCATATTTTTACCTCATTTTTCCATTGTTGATAACTTTTATCTTTGGTCAAACCTGGTGGGTTCTTGTAACTAGGTGCTGTTGCAATCTTTATTAGCTCTGCTACCACTGTTAGTTGATTAATTATGGCTTCAATATAAAATCTATTGTCTAATCTAATGTCTTTACTAATCTATAAACAAAACCCACCAAGTAACAAGTACCTGAAAATAATATAAACAAAAAATAATAGAAAACACAATAGTTAACAACATAGTAGATACAACTAAATAATGATATAATTCTGTGATCCGATATTCCTGCATGGAGCAATTCATTGATTTATGAAGATTCATTATTTAACTAGAGCAAAAACTGGATGAGTAATAATTATATGAATAAAATCACTGTTTGAAAATGTAAGAAATATAAAGGTGGCAGTCATAAAAAGGAAGAAAGACAGACAATACCATGGAAAAAAAGAAAAAAAGAGATGAAAATGCATGCAATAGTTCAAAAGGACTAGTAGCAGACAAGTAAAGATTGAGCAACAAGAACCAGAAGAAAAAACTTAGAATGAACTCAGATGCTCCTTAAAAGAAAGCAATTTCCTGTGAACTAGTGGTACATACTGTGTTGCTCCTTAAAAGAAAGCAATTTCTGGTGAACTAGTGGTACATACTGTGTTGCTTATGACAGTTAAAATATGCTAGATACACGGCGAAAAAAGGGTGCACAGGTTGACTATTGAAGTGAAATATTGTTTACTTGTTAAACGCAATATGGTCACTTTAAATACAATTAATTTTAGAAAATTTTATAGGATTTGGACCATTTGGAGTGCACACAGTAAATGCCAGTTGGGTGGCAGTTCAGGAATTAGCCAAAAAATCTATTCCTGGTGTTATTATAGTAATACGGGAAATTCCTGTTGTATATGAAACAGTTAAGAAACAAGTTCCACAACTCTGGAATGATGTCAATCCACAGGTAGGTATGAAGCGAGTGAATTATAGATACATAGTTGTCAACTTTACAAACTAACAAAGTTGTAGAACTCACCTTGGAAATATTTTCTAGTTGTGCAGCTTAATTACTAACGTGTAATATATTTTTTACAATACACATTCAAATGAATCCATATTTTAATTAGCCGAAACAACATTTCTAGTAGCCTGGGCTCTCTATAAAGTGTGAACATACAGTGTTTGGAATTCAATTTGTGGATTTTTACTACTTAAGGCTTTGATAAATATAGGTGGAAAAAGGAGATTTTATATTTGTTTCTTCAAGGTGACAGATTTAGCTCCTTTTCAGAATACGGATCCTAGAGGGAGATTTCAAAATATTTGAGAAAAAAATGGGAGGCTCCCACTGCTATATGGAGGCTGAAGGATATACTATTATAAATGTTAATGTATAAAAATATTTTATGTGGAGTAAAATTTTAAAAAAGTTCGCCATGTTCAAACCTTTTTAACTTAATTTGAAAAAAAAACTTAAACACGAAAGGATTAAGATGATACCAATGATGGTCCAATGCCAAATACCGGTATATACAATTACACTAACCTCAGGTTCAAGCTTCAACAAGAAATGCCATATACCGATATATACAATTACACTAACCTCAGGTTCAAGCTTCAACAAGAAATGCCAAATACCGGTATATACAAGTACACTAACCTCAGGTTCAAGCTTCAACAAGAAATGCCAAATACCGGTATATACAAGTACACTAACCTCAGGTTCAAGCTTCAACAAGAAATGCCAAATACCGGTATATACAATTACACTAACCTCAGGTTCAAGCTTCAACAAGAAATGCCAAATACCGGTATATACAATTACACTAACCTCAGGTTCAAGCTTCAACAAGAAATGCCAAATACCGGTATATACAATTACACTAACCTCAGGTTCAAGCTTCAACAAGAAATGCCAAATACCGGTATATACAATTACACTAACCTCAGGTTCAAGCTTCAACAAGAAATGCCAAATACCGGTATATACAATTACACTAACCTCAGGTTCAAGCTTCAACAAGAAATGCCAAATACCGGTATATACAATTACAATTACCTCAGGTTCAAGCTTCAACAAGAAATGCCAAATACCGGTATATACAATTACACTAACCTCAGGTTCAAGCTTCAACAAGAAATGCCAAATACCGGTATATACAATTACACTAACCTCAGGTTCAAGCTTCAACAAGAAATGCCAAATACCGGTATATACAATTACACTAACCTCAGGTTCAAGCTTCAACAAGAAATGCCAAATACCGATATATACAATTACACTAACCTCAGGTTGAAGCTTCAACAAGAAATGCCAAATACCGGTATATACAATTACACTAACCTCGGGTTCAAGCTTCAACAAGAAATGCCAAATACCGGTATATACAATTACAATAACCTCAGGTTCAAGCTTTAACAAGAAATGCCAAATACCGGTATATACAATTACACTAACCTCAGGTTCAAGCTTCAACAAGAAATGAATTGGTATAACGCTCTAGAAATGCCAGGATAGAGATTGAGTGAAAAGATTTTACATTCTTTATAACATATTTCATTCTGTTATTAATCTCGTCAATAAACAGCACAGAGAATTGGTATGAGCTTAAATGCCAAAGAGTTTAAAATTTGGTGGATGGGAGGAAACTCTATGTTTTTAATGCAGGCTATAAAGATTATTGATTATTGGCAAATTATTGGAAGTTACATTCTAGTAAATATTGTATTTTATATAAATTATAGCTTTTCTTATATCTTAAATGCAAGTAATAGCAATAAAGTAATAAAAGTTATTGAAATTCAAATATAATTTATACACATCTTTCAATCAAATATAGCAGTAAAATCATATTTTAAAACAACATGCAGTTAAGGCTTCTGGTGAGCCTCGCTTTTCGTCCTGTTTCTAAGGCTCATACAAATAAATTTTATAATTTCCGACAATGTACATATATTGTATATATATATATTGCTATTTAGGTTTTTATTACATAATGAATTAATTTATGCATAATTTTTAGCTTGTTATCCATGTGGGTGTTTCTAAAGAAGCCAATGCTATAACACTGGAACAACAGGCTCACAATGATGGTTATAAAAGACTGGATGTCCTTAAAACTTGTCCTTCAAATAATTGTTGTGTGGAAGGAGCTGATGAATGTTTAGTGTCCAGTATAGATATGGAAAAAGTTTGCAGTGATGTGAATGGTTCAGGGTTAAAGGTCAAAGCAGTTGTATCACATGATCCTGGAAGGTAAGAAAGTTTTGAAGTCACCATTTCTTTTTAAATATACCTGAGATTAACTTTATATTAGTAATAGCAAATATGGGGTACATGTCCATTTGAAAGAATCTCAACACACAAAAAACACCACAAAATCATCTTTTATGTATTTTTTCATTCTCTTTTTATACCATATTAAAGAATGAATGCCAAAAAAACAATCTGCAGTATGTCACCACAACTTATGCCCTATAATGTTGAAAACTCTAAAGAGCATGTTAATCTTTGGTATTAAAACCATGACAGACCAATAGAAAAACAAAGGATATGGGGTATACATCCATGACACAAAATCAGTACATGCACAGCAAAAAACACACAAATAAGCAAAGGAACAGTGCTTTTATTGCTGTTCTTCATCTCACAGTGTTGCCTTCAACATGGAGCAAAAAAAAAAAAAAAAAATCTCACCTCGCTGCAAGTTTAAGACAGCTCCTAGCACCGGCTACAGCGGAATTCTTATAAAAAATTATTTGGATAGACTTTGTAAGATGTAACACCACCAAATCGGGCCTGGTCGAAAAAGAACATACTGGAAAGTACTACATATTTAAAACAAAATAGTTCCTACCCATAGATGTAAATATAAAACTATGTAGAACATATTTTAGTAGTTAAGGTATCAGATAGTATTGTTTCTACACATTATAGTTGAGCATTTCTATTGTTCATCTTTTTCCTTCTTTGAAAGCTTTTTTTTCTGTTTCAGATATTTATGTGATTTTTCCTACTTTGTATCTCTTCATATAGACAGATCCAAATCAGCATTTATACATGTTCCGCCTCTGGGAAAACCATATACTGAACTAGAATTGGCAGATGGATTAGAACAAGTTATACTGAGCATGCTCGGTCAAATTTGATGTAGATTTCATATTACTTTAGATTATTTGAACCTATGAAATATAAATGTATTTTGATTCATGCCAGTATTTTTACTCCGAAGAGAATGAATGATAAAGCTGCCCTTTTAGACTCTGATTTTGAATATTCAAAAAGTACTATATATTATTTATCTTTGAAATAAACTTTTTTTTACATTCACAAGACATTGGTAGCCTGTCAGATATTAGTATTTGTAATTTTAATTTTGTTTTACATTATGTTTAGGGCTTCAAATTTGTAGCGTTCTAATGCAATACAATGTACTAATAAAACTGCCGGTCTTCAATAGACAGGTGTCTATACAATATGCCAAGTTCAATAGACAGGTGTCTATACAATATTCCAAGTTCAATAGACAGGTGTCTATACAATATGCTAAGTTCAATAGACAGGTGTCTATACAATATGCCAAGTTCAATAGATAGGTGTCTATACAATATGCCAAGTTCTAAACAATCCTGAATATACATTTGCACAGGTTTGGGAATTAGTGGACATTACATTTGGGCTAAAAAAAACTTTCTACCACCGTAATTTCTGGGATCTCTGCTATATAAAACCATCTGATGAGTGGCAGGAACGAAACAGCTTAATTGTTAATCTGGGCTTATGTTATGTAATGATATTTCTTGCGCAAATGTAACAATTTTTCGTGCAAATGTAATGCAAATCCAAGCATATGTAATGCACCCACTATTGACACCCAATCCTCCAAATAATGAAAAAATTCGTAAGGGTTCCACGGAACCCAGTGTCTCGCCTACTTTTGCTGTTAATCGCAGGCTCAACAAAAATGAGGAAAAAAATTAATAAAAATATTCCTCTCTATACTATCTTTTGATTGTAAGTGGCTTCTGTCCAAGTTTGGTAAAAATCCAGGATAGTTTATGAATCTAATAAATATTTTATTTCAAGGCTCCATGTTGAAGACCGTACTTTGACCTATAATGGTTTACTTTTATAAATTTTGACTTGGATGGAGAGTTGTCTCATTGGCACTCATACCACATCTTCTTATATCTATTTAAAAACTTAAACTGCAGACTGTATGTAATGCTAACTGGAAGAAAAACTAAGTCCATTTATAAGTAAAATACCGAAAAAAAGGACCAAAATTTTTTAACAAAATTTCCTTCTAGATACTAGCTTTTAATCATAAACAAGCTTCTGTCCAAGTTTGGTACAAATCCAGGATAGTTTAAGAAAGTTATTAAAATTTGAAAAACTTTAACCACAGAGTGAATGTAATGTTAACTGGCAGAAAAACTAAGTCCATTTATAAGTAAAATACAGAAAAAATGGATTTTTTTTTTTTTTAAATTTACTTTTGAATATTATCTTATGATCATAAACAAGCTTCTGTCCAAGTTTGGTAGAAATCCAGGATAGTTTAAGAAAGTTATTAAAAATTCAAAAACTTTAACCAGAGTGAATATTTGTGGACGATGACGACAGAATGTAGGATCGCTATGTCTCGCTTTTTCAACAAAAGTCGAAGGCTCGACAAAAATGAAGATATGACATTCAACACTTACTTGCCTCCTTCTTTGGATTTATTTGATACAAATTGTTCCTTTTGATTTATAAGATCAGGATTTTCATTTCTGTTTATATAAGTAAACATTGGGGTCCAAATCTTTGTTGTTTTGCAAGTACAGAATTCAGATTTTAAAGCTGTATTTGATATATACATGTATTAACTAAATTGCCATACTATTTTGTTCTAACTGTACTTTATATAGAGTACAAAAGTACCAAGGATTATGGGATATTCATGCCCCTAAACTGAGATTCCTTTGAATATTTATAATTATTATAGCAAATATTTTTTATATGGTTACAACCACATCTGTTATGGTCAGTATCATGATAAATCAAATAAAGTTGTGAGGTTCATTTATCTCCCTTCTGAATAGTTGTACTGATACTGTTTTACTGCAAGCATATATATATCATAGGTTTGAACGTTGTTTTCAATTTAGATTTGTTTATATTTTTTCGTTTGGGCTTGTATTATATTTGCCTTCGGGTTTATATGATCCGTTCATCCTATTTCGACTCTTTCAAAATTCAAGAGTCTATCCTAAATTGAGGTAAATTATATGGCCTTCCAAATACCGTTTCGATTCCTAACATCACTGAAGAGACATTAATTGTCGAAATCCGGATATGGTGTACAAATTTTTGCACCTCATGTTTGCGGTATACCATCTTTTCCGCAAATTTATTGTTGTCTGTTTGGTAATAAATCAATAATAAGATCCATTTTGTTACATCTGGTGATCCGTTTATTTGGCAATCGCCAATGGCAGTCAGCAGGGTTTAAGAACATCAGTTGTTCGACCTGCTAGTCAAATGCGTTTTGTTAAAATATACTTTTTCACTTTTTTGGTCTTTTGGAAAATGTTGTTTGTGTTGTATTTAGACCCCTCTACCAAGAAATTTGTTTTGCATGCACACGTATAAAAATTGCGGTTTTTATCCAACGCAATCATAGGTTTGAACATTGTTTTCAATTTAGATTTGTATATATATATATATATATATATATACAGAGTAGCCTTTTCTAGACTCTGGATAATTTAGAATTTGACATACAGTATAAACATCTGTCATTTGTTGATAAATATATAAATTGGCTGAAGACTGTATTTTGACCTCTAAATGACATTTAGTTATTATTGTCATTGGGTTGCTGTCTCATTGATGTTCACCCCATCTCTGTTTTCATGGATAATTTATCTAATTTACACGATGGGCTATAAATGTGTAGCTGTAGATGCTTTGTCTTGTAAAGACACCTATTTCATGTGATTTTCAATGTCCCACCTCAAGGTGGTTTTGTTTTTGAAATGATCTCAAAATACTTCTTGACAAAAAGATTTTTTTCTACTTTTATATAAAGATTGTTTTAATTCGATATGGCTTTTTAAAAGGAGCTGTGCTAAGAAAGGTAAATATATGCTGAATAAAATATTCCTGAAGTTTAATTACCTCCCCTTGTTGAACAATATGCTTTTTCACATTGTATACCATCTGTATAAGTTTCCCTGAAATCCATTAAATGATTTAATAGATCAACATCATTTGATCGATTGATTGATGTTTAATGCCACTTTCAACACTAATAGCTATTTCCTGGCAGTCAGTTTTTATTGCTGGAGGAAGCTGGAGAGCATAAGAGAACAACGACCTTCGGTCCAAGATGTTGGAGTAGACAGAAATTTTCAAGTTCAATTACTTAAAAACACAACATGAATATGTCAAATATATTTTATTAAAAAAAAAGAAGCAACAGAAGTAAAGAAAGATAGCTTTTCTATGTAAAACAAATAATTACATATAAAGTAACAAAATGATTCCTCCCTACTTTCACATTAGGAGTTTGAACATTCAAAATAAGTTAAAAATTAACCAAAACAATGAGTTAATGTTGTGTGGTCATAACAACAAGAAATGAACATTCAGGAAAATGAGTAATCCTTTATTATAGGACTACTGAGTTGATAGGGAATACTTTTTTCAATACATATCCATTAACCTGCAAACATTTTAGAACTTAGAAATGAAAATTTATATAGGAAATAGAAATCTTCACAAATATGGCCATAAGATGACAACAGAACCTTCACGCTCAACTCAGAAGAAAGCATTCGGGTATGAACAAAAAATCCTGGTCTGTAAAATATAAGAAATATGGTATTTATTTCTCTGTACTGTGAAAGATTTCCCCCTATTCAAATCTTTTTCAAAGTGAATAGATTCAAGGGTATAGCATTATACATTAACCAATATGGATACATCAAATTGTCTTCAAGATCTCCAAATTTTCCTAATCAAACTATTCAGTTGTTAGATTAAATAAAAATATTTCTAACAACTCATCGATTCTGGTCATCCAAATGCTGTTTAGTTACCATATAACATGACTATGAAATGAAATGTAGGCCTTCTGCACTGCTGCCTGACTAGAAACTGTATGTATAAAATATGTCATGATTATCAGATCAAAAATATTTGTTTAAGTACTAAAATACAATATCAGTAATCTACCATTTACTAACTAATGAACAAAGGTAATAAACAATAGCCTGGAATCCTGGCCCAATCTAGCTTTGCGTGACAAGTTGAGCCAGGAACACAGACTAAATAAACGGTAGATTTTTAATTACCTCCTAAGCATATGTCATGGGGAGATAACTTACTTTATTTTTTTCATTATGTCTAATAGCTAATACTTAATTGTATAACATAGATATTAAAGATAACCAGATAATGTGAAAATATTTGAATGATGGTATTTTGCAGAATTTGTTTCATACAGGTTTAGTCTCTTTTTATGTATTGTTTCGTAGACTTCTTTGTCTTTACCTCCTCTTTTTTTATTGTCACCCTTAGACGAATGAATTTTGAATGTCCCTTTGGCATCTTTCGCCTCCTTTTTCAAGTTCCCTACTTTAATTCATTAATGTACAACTAAATCCACTTATTATACACTTCCAGAAAATAGATATAAAGATGGCTAAATAGTACAAAATAAGATATGTTAAGAACCCTTTCAGTAGTAGTATTATCAGACTTTGTAATGATAAGTTATGTTGTTGGTAATTTTAACTAACCGTATTGTCTTATATTCAATCTGATAACACTTCTGATTAAAAAAACTATTCAGTGAAGATAGAATACAGTTCTTGTTCACTAAAATGGTAAAGCTTTAAGGAGACTAAACAAGGGAAGGGATTTTATTCATTAAGCAACTCTCAACTCTTTATTCATTTGTGAAAAATATTGATAATTCTTACTGTCCTCTATATAAATGTTTCCCTTTGTTGAAAGATTGATATAGTAATAGATAAATAAATTTGTTACTTCTTTAATCAAATAGTTCCTTTTTTTATACAAAAGAGTAGCAATAATTTTTTATCAAACTAAAATTGTAAGTTCGAAGGGCTCAATTTTTATCTCTTATGTTGAAACCTTTGTAATCGGACAAAAAATAATTAAGACTTATTTTTGAGTTATGTGATATAACAATTTTAAAAATATTAAGACTATCCTCAGAAAATCTGTATTCTGACATTTTTTTCTTCTAGTTTTAAATTAAATGATTATAAAATTATGAAAACAAATTGAAAAATACAATTCAAAAATATATCCATGTTGAATATTGATGGTAACAAATCTCTTTGAGTGCATATACAATCTTGGCAGTTATAACTTAAAACTATCAATTAATCACTATTAAGCTAAAGGACTATGTATCTATATGATCTTTTTTATTACTTACTATATGAGCAATTTTACTAAAAAATCTCTTTTTTCAGTGAAGAAATAACCTACATTATTTGTTTTTAGTTCTTCTTAGGCTCAATTTAAAAAAGTAATATGCCATTTTGTGAATTCATGAACAAACATGGATAAAATTTTGATGAAAATTGAATGAAAGAGCTTTCAGTAATAGAGAACTTCACAAAAAAAATTACATCTTCCATTTATTGTATAAACATTTGGAAAATATATTTGGTGGTGATGTCTAAATGCATACAATAGTTGTTTTATGACAAAAAAATAAACAAACAAAATATGAAAACGGCAGTAAAGTTTATGAAGAGTTGTAAGTCAAAAGTCTTTCATCAACTGATAACATCCCCCAAATTATATGTATATATCTATCACAATTATAACCATATAGTCCCTTGAAGATATATGTAGATTGAACACTTTAAATATCTAAATATACCTAATAATTATAGATGAATATTAAAAATACCACTTATGTCAAGGCTATGGGCCTTCATTGCATTATTGCAAGGTGTGAGCACTGCAGTTCATCACTGCCGAGTATCTTGAACACTTGAGAACACAATTAAAAAATAAGTTTTGTTGATATTTCTTTTAAACTTAGTTGTGCTGTGGTTTGTTGTCTTGTGTACAGAAATTTTTTTCTTTTGGAATACAACAACATCTTACCCAAAAATTCTGGTTTTGTTATTTTTCTCTGTCAATTTTCACATAAAACAAAATTCAAGGCATCTAAAAAAGACTATTTCAGTCAGAAAATTGAGTTTAAAAAACTTTTAATTTACAAAATAAAAATGTATTCAGTATTTAAATTCAAGAATGTGTTTAACACATAGATTACTTTGAAACAATATCTTCCGTACAGGAGGTTTTCAGTATAGATAATAAAGGGCAGAAAGAGCAGAATAATGGGCAAAAGTAATAAAGGATAGAGAAAAGTGGACATAAAAAAAAAAGAATAGAGAGTAATTGAGTGGTAAATTATAAAGCATGGGGGGGGGGGGGGGGGGGGGGGGGAGGGGGGGGGGAATAAATTAAGTATAGAGAAAAATAGTCTAAAAAATTAAAAGAATAAAGAATTGAAGGACACCCACCAGACCCTCATACAGAATAACTTGATTGTAATGATCCATATAATAAGATTAGTTTGTTTCATTTGATCACTGTTATATTATATTTAGTAACAAAATTTCAGGACAAAGTGAAATAAAAGAAAGACTTCTTAAACCAATATTGCACTGCAACAGCAATAATAAAATATTAAAAATATAGACTTTAAATAGCCATGGCAACAGTCATGGAAAAATATGAACACTGAGTAGATGTGAGAAATAAAGAATGTGATCTTTGGCAATAAATAAACAAATATGATATGTGATTCAACAACAAAAACACAATTAGGAAATTTACCTGAACACAAAAAATATGTCAACTGTCTTTAAAAAAAAAGAGAAAACTTTATATAAAAAAATACTTATTTGGGTTGTTGTCTCTTTGACACATTCCCACTTCCATTATTACTTTACATATACAGTGAAACTGTTTAAAACCAACTTGTCTATACTTGTCTATACTGAACTTAGTTTATCAGGATGTGCAATTCATTTTCTGTAGTTACTTTATTGTATAAAATGAAATACACAAATCTCAAGTTTGTCCAACAACAAAGGATAATCAATATTTCCCGCAATTGACAAAAGAAAGCAGTTGTCAAAGACCAAAACAGATTAATTTGCAAGTGCCATCATGTCAATCTGAGCAAAAATGACGTCAGTTAGAGTAAAATCGTGGCTCAAAATAGGTGTAAATCCAACTTGTTTATTATCCTTCCAAAATAGTAAGTCTCAAAGGGGTATTTGGTTTTAGACAGGTTTCACTGTTATGTTTTTTCAAGTATGACATATTTTGCATATTATACTTTTCATTTCGTCCCAAGAATTTCAAATGGCCCCATGTATGTTTAAATAGAATAGTCCTTTGATCTCACTTCTATCTGAAAAGAGATAGTTGATGAGACTTATTAGGAATTTGAAAGCCTATTCTCTACAAATTCCAATATATTTATTATGTCCAATAGGCAGAGAATTCGCATCAAAATTGGAAGACAGTTGCCTCCCTTCATGTGACAATTAACTTAAAGCTTTCGTAGTATAAATCAACTCCACTCCTAGAGCATTTAAAACAATCAGTAAGATGGTTCTTTAAAATGATATCATTTACAGGTTGATGAAGGGCAGACACATCATTTGTCTTGTACACATAACTTTTTAAAATCACCCATAAACTGTCAATCAGAGGAAATCTAAAATGTACATTGCCAAAAGGTTAACTAGTTATTTTTAATACAAATAAATATTACCACACAATTGCATAGTTAAGATGGACAGGCATTAAAATATCAGAAACTTTAAAAAAATAATTGAAATCTCAATGGATAAGACATATTATTTTTTAATGTACCAAACTAATTTTTTTATTTAAAAAAAAAGTTCCTCTGTTAACTAGTCGAGTGAGTTCAACAATGTTTTAATCTGCAACAAGAATCTGAAAGTCACAGTTGTATGATGGTGGTGTTGACAAAACCTTTATTTTAACTAACAATTTTTTTTTTCATTTATTTGGTTTTATTCAGTTCTCCTTTCAAAAGTTTAGCATGTTGAATACTAGGACTCCATATATCGTCTAATAAAAAATTACTTACTTTAGACCTTGCTCATAAACACCATTGAGAGTTCATTAACTATTTAAAGAATAAGATAACTAGATTGAAATTTCAAAATCAGTTGAAACTAAGCTCAAATGAATATCTGTTTCTCAATCATTAACAAAACTAACTCATTCAATATTACTCTGGGATTGAGTAGCAAAATGCACAAAGAGATGCACATTAATGATTTTTTCAATGGTATTTCTAAATGCCGTGTAAACTGTAAATAGCTATTACCAAGTACATGTAGATGTAAGTTAAAGATTCTTAACTTTTAGATGAAGACCAAAAGAGGGATTATTATAGAGGTCACAGATAAAACATGACAATTTCAATTAAAACAGTAATTCTATTTAATTTGGATTTCTCAAAGTAATTGATGCACAAGAAATGATATAATGAACACGAATATAACTTCTTTTAAATTCAATAGAACAAAACAATTGATAAAGATAATATGTTTTACGAAAGTAGACAATGAAAATAAAATCCATTTACAATGCATAGAAATTTCATTTAAAAAATACATTAAAATGTTGAATGGGTAAATACATCAACTGTTTACAGCTGTTTTGTGTCATCCCTCAGTATAATACCACTGATAAATACAAAACAACTAAAACTTCCTTGAGACTGTTACAGAAACAGTTTGATATTATGTTTCTAAAAATAAATATTCTATACATATACATAATATATCAACACTTTGCACATTATATACATATATATATAAATATTGGATTTATTTGTGAAAAATTAATCTGACCATGAATATATAAAACTAGAGGGCTCAGCAGCTACATACATTTACATACATATATAAATAACAATGATTTATAACAACTGTAACAACATGTATAAAATATACATCTTTAATATCACAATGAGTTAGCTCCCCTGACAGGAAATGGGACAATTACACAACCAATCAATCAACTTCAATATACATAAAATGAATTTCAATTGCAAGGATTGATCTTTAATATAATCAATGTTTTAACTTAAATATTTTACTATCTTGTTGTATAATATCTATATAAAGGATCTTCCACTATTGATTAATACATCATGAATGGTGTAAGTAAAAACAGACTTATCTTTTGTATTTGTATGTTTGCTTTGTTTTTTGTAGGAGGATAGTCACTTACTATCAAATACCAGTAAATCCTTTTTAACAAAATCTTTGCTGAGGGCAAATCTAAACCCCAACTAGGGTTAATCAGTTGAAATTACCAGAGCTAATGATAAAGCCTTTTTCAAGCTGTTTCAAAGACATTTCTGATATTTTGTTGTTTATATTTTCCTTCAGACAGTTAAGCACCTCTTTTTTATTCCTCTTTCCCCTTACAAAAACAGTTTTAAAAGAGTACAGGATTAAATATTGTACAGAATTTATTTTGCTAAGAGAAAATGTCTCTTTTTAAAAACATATCTTAAGACGAATTAATATGAAAAAAGTACTTCTATAATATGCAGATCTGATAATATTGGATAATGGAAGAATTAAGTATGAGAATTGAAGTGGCTAAAACCTTTAGTTCAAAAAAATTCTTGTTGACAAGATTAAAAAAAATAGCTTTTAGTAATATTCCTATCTTTATACAACTTCAGTTAATAAAACCAAGAAATATTCCAGCGAAGGGAGATTTAAGACATTTTTTTTTCTTCAGAAAAGAACAGAAATGGAAAAAAAATTCACAATGGTACATGTTATATCTTACTGCAAAATGCACTCAGTGGCATCTACCTTTTAAATGAACATAACAAGATGCAACAATCAACATTGAATACAAAAATAATGAACATGAATTTGATCATAGAAATGTGATTATAATGTCTCACAAATATGATCATAACTTTTCACAAAATAAAACATGTTTATCATGATCATGATGTTCATGGTGACTATGATTATCATGAAGTATTGAGCTGGTCTCTTTCCTGGGACTACTTTGAAATGTATTTTTCTGATCATTATTTTGGTCAAGTTTTTTTACATTCGTCAATTTCACATTTTCTGGAGCTCTTTGTCTCATGTTAGTTCCACTTGTGATTAATTCTCCAAAACCTTGAGAATGTGAAAATGCATAACCAGACCGCAGAGAACGTGTACTCCTTCTCATTGTTGATGCTCTCCTTAGATGGAGATCTTTAGATCTGGACTTTGACGCAGTCATTCTCTGCTTTAATCTAATACGATCAGAAAGTGTTGGCTTTGTATCAACCATATAATATCTGTAAGCCACAACTGGCATTAGTAATACAACATTTGTTAATAACAGGCAAAACCAGAAATTAGGCGACCCAAAAACTTGGTATGCAGCGCCTTGATAGACGTAGTTGAACACTGGGGCATAGAAAGCTAAGATGAAACAGTAGTAAAAGATACAGCTTCCCCAGACCACAACATGACTAAATCCTGTCCAGTAGGATGTATCCATTCCACACTGAAAAATATAAACATGATATTAATAATTGACCGATTAATTGACTTATCATTTATATTTACTACTATTTTAAAGCCTCACAGCATAATGTTTTCTCTTTCTGATCCATGTTACAGGTTGAGATCTAATACATCATTTATACACAACATAGTAATTAGTTTTAGATAATGGGGCATCCAGCATGTTTAAAAAAGGGAACAGTAGTAAAAATTCAGAAAAACTTATGAAAAAAAAAAAAAAAAATAAGGGAGGGCCCAAGTTTTTCTTCTTTGTTTAAAGCCTTATATTTGTAAAATTCTGTTTCATGTTCATATATTGACTTGTTTACTTGGGTTGTTTACTCATTAATATTTCCGTTCATATATACGTATCATTCAAGCCTTTGGTATATAAAAGGAAAAAAACTCAAAATTAAAACCAAGCCATTGTGTTTCTTCAACTTATGCCCCCTTGGTTTCTTATTAAAAAAAAAAATATATATATATATATATATATATAAATAAAAATATAGTTACCCTAAGATTGACAGCTACAACTAAAATACTGGCTACAACAACTCCAAATGATTGAGAATCTGCTAGATCTGTTCCTGAGCGACCAAGACCATCATGGAAGGCACCATAAGGTATGAAGAATAAAACTAAAGACGTTATAAACCCCTCAGCAATACTCCAAGCAAATACTTTCTTATTGAACATTGAGTCTTCTATACCTGGTGCATACAACTTGGGGTAACGAAGGGAATAGTATTCATTCACATCCTACAAATAAAATATATTCTGTCATAAAGGATTCAAATGAAATACATGGTCATAAAGGATAAAAATGAAATACATTGTCATAAAGGATACAAATGAAATACATTGTCATAAAGTATACAAATGAAATACATTGTCATAAAGGATACAAATAAAATACATTGTCATAAAGGATACAAATAAAATACATTGTCATAAAGGATACAAATGAAATACATTGTCATAAAGTATACAAATGAAATACATTGTCATAAAGTATACAAATGAAATACATTGTCATAAAGGATACAAATGAAATATCAGTCAAACCAAAAACTATGCATATTTCAACCAATTATCTTGCAGATGTAGGATTCTATTTTAATTTTCTTGTGAGCCATAAAGAAATCAGTGCATTTATTACAACTGAAATTGCTCATATGGAACTTAATTTTCTTGAATGCACTTTCAGGCTTGTTTGATCTGCCATATTGTGTGCCTATTGTCCAATCTATCAAGGTCATTTTCCAATATAACAAGGACAATAATTCCTGTTCTTGAATTACGATAAAAGTGAAAATCTTCAATATATCTAACTTGACCTCAATTTTGTCAATCGGTAACAACATATTAAAATATAAAAAGCATTGGTTGAACAGTTCAAAAGTTATTGCACCGAAACTGTTGGCTGTCGCTTGCCAGCAGCCTGCAATACTTCAACAAATGGATAACCATATTTTTCCTTTGGAAAAACCTCTTTAAAAGATTGTGACTTTCATATTCTTGATAAAACTTTTATCATAACTGTACACTGCATACATCATTTTTATATAATAAATAAATGGTCTTTTTCAGTTGGAGATGGCTAACTTATGCAAGGTAAGGGGACATGCTCTGATATTTTTTTTGTCTGTTTTTTTTTTCAAAGACATATATATTTCTAATGGAATTTAAAATCTAAAGTCTATAATGTCTTTTCCACAATAATAATAAAACTACCATTACCATATATATTTATTTCTTACCTGATCAAATACTCCCATCATCAAAACAGGCAGTGAGGTATACATTACATTGTAAAAAGTGATGAAGTATGGATCAAATAATGTCTGAAAAATATAATTGTATAATTACTCACAAGATTTTCGACAAGGGGCAAATGTTGAGATTTTCTTTTGAGAGGTCAGAGTCAAACATAGAAATGTTAACCCATGCAAAATAAAAATTTTGAACTTCCTATCAATGTAGGGAAATTATACATATATATTTTTTTTATATAAATTTGTTCTTTTCAAGCACATATTCAAAGAAAGTTCTATAGTTTTATCTGCTCAGTACCCAATATGAGTCTGGTAAATGTACTTCATATGACCACTGGAATGCTATAACATATGATTTAAGAATAAAGCCCACGTTACTTTGGTTATCATTAAAATTGAGAATGGAAATGGGGAATATGTCAAAGAGACAACAACCCGATCAAAGAGCAGACAACAGCCGAAGGCCACCAATGGGTCTTCAATGCAGCGAGAAAATCCCACACCCGGAGGTGGTCCTCAGCTGGCCCCTAAGTAAAATTGTGTCCTAGTTCAGGGAAAATGGACGTCACACTAAACTCCAAAACATATAAATGAACTAAAATTAAAAAACATACAAGACTAACAAAGGCCAGAGGCTCCTGGCTTTGGACAGGCACATAAATGCGGCGGGGTTAAACATGTTTTGTGAGATCTCAACCCTCCCCCTATACCTCTAGTCAATGTAGACAAAAGAAACACAGCAATACGCACAGTAAAATTCAGTTTAAAAGAAGTCAGAGTCCATTGTCAGAATAGATAACAAAAGAAACTAAGCAAAATGACAATGATAAATAAATGAACAAAGGACTACTAGCAGTTACTGACATGCCAGCTCCAAACCTCAATTAATTTGATTGAAAGATTATGTCTTCATCAATTAGTCTTTTTCATTAAACATCAGAAAAAGAGGTAAATAAATCCATGTTCACATTTTGACAATACATTTCTATCACCCATATTTTAAACTAAATACCCCAATGGTGATTGTGGTCAAGTTTGAATAAATTTGGCCAAGTAGTTTTAAAGGAGAAGATTTTTGTAAAAGTCACTACATCTGCCATTTTTAGACCTTGCTGGTGACCACATACACATTTTGTCCTACTTAAAAATAAAGACTTACCTGAGCTGAAAATCCACAGAAGAATGCATACCAGAAATGACATAATGTGAATGCAAAGTTTTTGTAGAAAAAGTATTTTAGAAATTTGCACATTCTGAAATAACTCCATCGTCCATGCACTAACAACAAGCGTTCTAAGTATCTAAACTGACAGATTGAATAGTCACTGGCCAGAACAGCCTGCATTCCTTCCTGACCACTTATTCCAACTCCTATATGTGCAGCTAGAAAAATAGAGATAATATATTTAATGGTTAAATTATGACTTTACTATTGTTTGAACTATCATTAAAATCAATTTTTAGAGGTGTGGACAGAAGGTCCAGTTATTTTCATCCCTCCCCTTGTTTTACTTCTACTTCTATCTATTCAACTTTTATTTCACTCCAGATCTAACTCAAGTTCTTCACACATGTCTATAGGCAGCGGTGACCACAGATATTTTCCTGAAGATTATTTGGTAATTTGTATCATTAGGTAGTTGTCTTATTAATGTATGCCCCTCATTAACATTTTGTTTTTTTTTAATTCATATTAGAAAGTACTGTAAATTCAGAAATTAATGGGTTCGTTATTATCAAAATTCCAAAATATGAATAAAATTGACGGAGAATGTGTCCATGGGACACAAATGATGCCCCCCTTTGCATATAACGTTATAAAGGGACATAACTCAAGAACAATAAAAGTGAGGCCACCTTAATTCAAGCTTGATCTGAGTTCTGTGGTAATAAGCACTAAGAATAAGTTTAATAACATTTGGTTGATGCAAACTGAAGTTAGAAAACAGAAACCAATTTCGGGATGTACGTACAGACATACAGACAGACAAGGGTAACACTTAATGCCCCCCCTGTTCCATTAGTGAATATAAGTAATTATACGTCAACTTACAGCCTTCAACAAAGAGAAAAACCTATCCTTATAGTAGATTATAAAAGGCCCAGACATGAAAAAATGTGAAACAATTCAAATTAGAAAACTAACGGCCTAATTCATAACAAAACAATTTACAAACTAGACAAAGTGATGCCCCTGCACTCCACTCTGAAGTAACTGTATTATAACAAAGTCAATGTAGGACTTTCTTTGAGATATTATTGTGTCTGGGAGACACAAATGATGCCCCCACAGATGCAAAATGTTATTTTAAAATACACAAAGTTCAGCATGGGAGCACATAGGTCTATGGTTCACTGTAGGAGGAGTTATACGGAAACCCTTATGCACCTCATATGCAAGTATATACTCCAAAAATGACAAAGTTCAACTATCTCCCAAAAGAGCAAATATTAATATAAATCAATATCCTGACAAAATGCACACCTTCAATATATGTACAAACAGCCAGCAAAGTGAAAACTTCCTAGCATTCAAACTGTAGGAGAAGTTATCCAGAAACTCTATGCCCCTCTTATGCAAGTATATACTCCAAAAATGACAAAGTTCAACTATCTCCCAAAAGAGCAAATATCAATAAAAAATCAAAACCCTGACCACATGCACACCTTCAATATACGTACAAACAGCCAGCAAAGTGAAAACTTCCTAGCATTCCAACTGTAGGAGAAGTTATCTGGAATAGCTATATACCCATAATGGGACAGACTGACAGAAGGACGCACAGACTGATGTACGGACAGGGGTAAAACAATTTGCTCCCAACTCTCAGTTGCGGGGCATAATTATTGCGGGAACATAAAAACAAATATGACAGTGATGAACAAACAACATTCATTATATTCAGATGTTGTCCAACTTACAACCAAAAAGGACCAAAAGTAAAGCAAACCCAGACAATTGTTTATATACCAGTAAATACAAATGTAATTTTAACTGGTTATGATCAAGTTCAAACTAAACTGACCACTTGTAAAAAAATTGGTTTACATATATGGTTTTTGTTGTAATTTGCAATCATACATTAACATTGAACAGTGAAGAACAAATGAAGATCACAGCTTTATTTGGTTAATCAAAGAATGCAGGAGTTTTTATTTCTAGCAGCAAGTATGATAAATTGCACAAAATAGTGCAGATTTTCACAGTTTTTACTGATTGTAAATTATTATGACATACCGTAATCTGTAACATCATCGTATCATACAAAATGTACATTATGCTTCGTTATAATAATATTTGATCAAGGACAGATATTTTGCTACATTTTCTGTACTGCTAAGCAATACTAACAAAGTACAACAATTTTGTATCCAAAAAACTAGACCTAAAATTCAATATTACTTACTTTTAATCATACTGACATCATTGGCCCCATCACCAATAGCTAAAGTTATAGATTTTTTGTTCCTTTTAACTAGATCAACAACCATAGCTTTCTGTAAAGGTGTGACTCTACAGCATATCACAGCTTTACAAGAACAGCCTAGTTCTAACAATAGTAATTCCATATCTCGTTGCAAGGCATGAATCTGAAAATACAAAAGTACATACATCAGTATTCAAATTTGTAGTACACGTTTTTTTAAAATACCACTGAAATATGTTTTCTGATTTAACATTACTCTCACTAGTTTGTACTTTTAGTCCCTTGATCTCACAACAAGATTGAACAAATATTTGTAATAAACAATCAGTACTGACAGCTATTGCTCACTAATAAAACCCAAACTATATAAATTATAGGTATTCATTGAAGAAGATGTCAAGGCATTGATGTGATAACACAGTATAGAATGCTCACATGAAGCTTGATACCAAATTTCAGGAAGCTCTGATATGAAGTTTGTGTGAAAAATGTGACAAAAATTTCATTGGATGGACAAAAGGGTGACAGATGAAGAGCAACCTACCTAAAATCCTCAGAATGAGGAGGGGTGAGGGGTATAATAGTTGATTGGCATACATATGTTCAATAAAGTTATGCTCAAATAAAAGTCTGTGTTATTTTTTCAAATAAAATGTTTTCTCCAAGCATCGATTCCATTTTTTTCTAAAGGGAGAATAACAAATATACCAAACTTTAAGGAAAATTAAAAAACCAGTTGTGTCGCCCATGCCTGGTGCAAAACACAAAAGGACTGCCATACTTCGCAGTTCTTTTCAACTGAACATTGAAAAAGGGAGATAGCTGAGTACTGCAATCTTAAACTACTGTAACCCCATTAAACTATTTTTGTAACGGTTCATTCAAAATGTGCAAGTCTCTGTCAGTAAGTTCATGTCAACATATTAAAAATACATTGTACAGTAAATATTCTTTGGTTGCTGACAAAAAATTTGAAAGTTCATTCAGCGGTATATGTATATTTTCACAGTAAGAATCTAATAAAAACTAAAGCAGTGCAAAATTAACATATATAGAGAATTTTAGAAACAAAAATGTAAAAGTATGTTATCGAAATGCTAAATTTTATATAAATAACATTACATAAATATTTCTTAGTATACAGTTTGCTTTATAAAAAAAAAATCATATGTTTGGTATTTTTATATACAAAGACTAGATGCGTCGGAACGACACGAATGGCCCCGTCTCAAAAAGTTGAAAAATCTGCAATTTCAACAACACATGTGGACACAAACATGCATGGATAGTATCCAGCTCTCAAGACCAATACTAGTTTGATGAAAAATTTCCTTGATCAATGAGTAGTTAAATTTCAAACTATCAGCAAACAGGAAGTGGATGTACTGAAGATGTGTTGAAACGACATGAAAATCAGCATATCTGAACGAAACATAAACTTGACCTGTACTTATCATTGTAGACTCACATATCAAAAATCAGCGCAAAATCTGAAGACGTATAGAAGAAAGTCTGTATATCTGTGATTTTCAACCATTTATCAAAGTCCAAAGCCCGTAATTTTGGCAAAAATTAGCAGAGCGGAACGAAACTTAAAACTTGAACTGTAACTCATCATGGTTAACTCACATACCAAAAGGTCAAAACCCGTAATTACGGCAAAAATCAGCAGAGCAGAACGAAACTTAAACTCGATCTGTAACTCATCATGGTTAACATACATACCAAAAATCAGCCCGATATCTAAAGGCATTTAGAAAAAAAGTCTGTATAAATGTGATTTTCAACAATTTATCAAAGTCCAAAGCTCGTAATTTCGGCAAAAATTAGCAGAGTGGAACGAAACTTTAACTTGATCTGTAACTCATCATGGTTATCAGCCCAATATCTGAAGGTGTTTAGAAAAAAATCTGTATAATGGTTTGTTGCGGAATGTCGGAATGACGGACAAGGGTAAAATTATATGGCCCCGACATCTTTGTTGCGGGGCCATAAAAATATACTTCATGTTATGAATTTTTTCAAGTACTTCTTGTATGGTTGAAAAAAAAATCCAGTGTTTAAATTCTTACCAAACTGTGTCCATTTATAACCAAAGCAAATTCGTCAGTATGAGGCAGGTCAGGACTGACGTCTGCTTTTCGTCCATTATAATAAACTCCACCATTGGCAAAAGCCACCCCTACTTCCTCTTCTTTTTGGGTTTTATTTTCATGTTTGATCTTTTTTATATTTTGTAGTGCATCTTTCATTTGTTTTTCAACTGATTCATAAGTTTCACCATCAACGATAAAAATCTCCTCCATTTCATCTGTGATCAGCTGACATGAATAACCAATGTTTATTGCAGTTTCTGAAACAAATAAACAATCAGTGATCAGCTGACACGAGTTATCAATGCTTTTTGCAGTTCCGGAAACAAATAAACAGCCCATCAATTACCGGTAGCCGTTATTTGTATTTATTCTTAATGATTACCAATTTTGATCTGTCTATAAAGTTTTTGACAACATGAACAAAGATTGGAACATAAAAATAGTATATAGCTCATATATTATCAGCTGGTAGAAAAGTTCTTAAACCTGTTCCTTTAAAACTTACTACATTAAACCTTAATTATAATATTATGGCATTTGGTATCTTGTTCTTACCTTGTTTATCACCTGTAAGCACCCAAATTTTAATCCCTGCTAGAGCAAGGTTTGCTATTGCATCTGGTACCCCATCCTGTAACTTATCTTCTATAGCTGTAGCACCTATCAATACCAAATTTTTCTCAATTTCTTCATAAACTTCATGTAACTTGTCATCTCTGTCTTCCATAGCAGTGCTAAAATACAAATACATTCATTTAGTAATTCATAACTTAAAGACTTGCTTTTTCTTGAGAAAAAAATTACTAATATACTTCTTTTGAATAGGGCCCATACATTTCTTGATCTGAGATGTTTCCCTTTAGAAGACGTTCTACTAGAGTATAAAAGTGTTGTTATAAATAAAAAAAAAATATTTATTACTTTTAATTCAGAAATTCTGCTTCTATTTATAATTCCGATGAACAATGGACAAAGATGTGAAATAAATTTTTCGATTTAGAGAAATGCTGCATACAAATAATGCTAGAAAAAAATTGAAGCCAGTTTTTATTTTTGTGAAATCTATCCTGTGGCAAAAGAGACAACCCCTGGAAGATTTGCACAATATTAAAGTAAAGCGAAGCAAAAATTCCTAACATTAAGATCATAATCATCATTATCATTATTGTATAAATCATATAAATTGACAGCATTTGTTTTTTTAAATGAAATCATTGCAACTGTTTTCTCTCCTTTATCATGTTTATTAATATATAAACATAAATCTTGTCATACCTTGCAGCATGATGTTTTTTCTTCCATTCAGCATAAACATTATCAGGAATATCTTTGACTGCCAAACATAACGTTCTAAGTCCTTCTGATGCATACTCCTGGGAAAAAATGTGGTTTAAGTCAACAACAGTATAATTGAAATCATCTGAACAATATCTAAATAAAAGTCTTGAAATAATAGGGTCATATTAAAATATGCTCAATATAGTTTAGAGTAAGAGTTCAATCTCTTTTATGGGTATATTAATGAATCATTTATAGCAATTTTAATCAACCACAAATTTTTTTTCTGTTAGAACAATGGTACGATGTTGTGTCTGTGCCATAACTTTAGTTCTAGTTCAGATTATCATGAAATTTTTACACTTTGATCCTTATCATTAAAGGAAGATTAGTATTACATTGTAGCTTTGAAAAACTGTTTTCAAAACAAGAGGCCTATAGGAGATAAAAATTTAATTTTAATTAAAAAATGTTCATCCTACTTTTTGATTTTGGTTTCTTATAAAAGTTTCTTCAAGTAGTAAGTCAACACATTTGAGCAAGCTTTTCCAGTTTTCAACATACAACGACTTATACTGTAACAGTTGAATTTGATGAAATCCTAACAGTTAAAAGGTTAAAACTGAGATACACTAAAAGTATAACTTAATAAACTGCTTCACCAAGTGCAGATGGATACGACCGCAGAGGTCCAACCCTGAACAGTTGGGGCAAAAATGGACACAATATTCAAGCTTGATACAGGTCTGAATTTGGATTGTAATTAAATATTTTACACATTATAGGTTTCTGACACAGAATAAATGTAGTCAAAGAGATTGAAATTGGTTGTATGATTTGAATTTATATTCAATTGAAGATTTCTTGCTGTTGTGCAATACACAGTGCTGTTGCGCAATACTTAGTAAATCTGTTTTCAGACTATATAAAAACGAATTAGCAAAATAAATTGTGACCCCCAATTTTTTTCTTTGGAAAATTGACAATTTCTTAAATCTTGAGGAAAAAAAATTTTACCCCCCCCCCCCCCCTCCAAAAAAAATAATATTTGAAGAGAATTTTCTTTTGAGGAAAAAAAAATCCCCCCCCCCCCCTCCCCCAAAAAAAAAATTTTGAAGAAAATATCTTTTTGTAAAATGTGGTACAAATTAAGAGACATCCATACACTTAAAACACAAGTTTTTATCTGAAAACTAGAAAAATGCTTGTTTTAGACCCTTTTTGGCCCCTAATTCCTGAACGATTGGGACCATTACCCCAAAAACAATCCCAACCTTCCTTTTGTGGTATTGAACCTTTTGGTTAAATTTCATAGAGATCCATACACTTAAACTAAAGTTATTGTCCTGAAACCAAATGTCTTCAAACGACGACGTGATACCAATATACGACCGCAAAATTTTTTGGCGGTCATATAAAAATTAAATGGGTATTTGATAGTTTGGTTTTTTGGCACTGACTTACTTCAAAAAAATCCTCCCTGCATTGCCATGCTTTTGTGTAGGTTCATATATCACAAATACCTGTCAATTTATACTTAACTATTTTCCTAAAGTGGTAACAAACTTACATTTAGATGGTGTAATGTCAATTCCTTTAGGTCTGCACATTTTGGATCCATTCTTTCTAAGACAAGAGAATCAGCTCCTTTACAAAATAACTGTATTTTACCTTCTCTTCTTACTATAACCTGTTAACAGAAGATAAAACAAGTGTGTTTGAAATTACTATATAATAGTCAGAATGATGTCAGACAACTTAAGTATTTGTAAAGTTGTAGTGCTCATTGCTACGACATATCAAACATTTGTAAAAAGGTCAATAGAAAATTTCATAATTACCCCTTTTTTTTCATTTTTGACTTTTATCTTCAAAACTATTCCTGCTCTATCCCTTTTGTCTTAGAAATTGGGAGGAGCATTTTTGCCAGATATTCATAATAAAGATAAGGATTGAGAACTAGATAATTTAACCCTATGTACATCCCCTGCAGATGCACATACTTTATCTGTCCAAGGGCAATAACTTATTTTGGGGTTATTTTAAATTATTTTTAAATATCCTACAAGAAGTATAGGCATGAGATTGCTTACAATAATATTTTCCATATAATTTCATTTTCCAAGGGTTATAATTCCAGAAAAAAATAGTTGAACGGAACTGATTATCAAACTCTTCAGACCTAGCTTGTATAAATTTCATAAAAAAACAACAATGAATGTAGGTGTGAGAGTGCTTAAATTCCAAGGTTCTATATAAATTACATTTTAAAGGGAGATAATATTGTAAAAATCATTGATTTGCACTTATTTTCCAAAGCATCCAAGACATTGGAGAGTTGTCTCGTTGGCAATTATACCACATCTTGCTATTTTTATAATTACTGATATAAATCTCTGATATAAAGTTAATAAAAAATCTGACAAGAAACGTAGACTTGAGAGTACTAGCAATGTAATTTCCTACAGAATTTACATTTCTAAGGGACATAACTTATGTTAAAGTAGTTGACCCAAACTGATTTTCATATTCGTCCCAGACACTGCTCATTTAAACCTTTAATATAATTTCATAAAAATCTGGCAAGAATTGAACATATTAGAAAGCTTACAGGACCAGACAGACACCCAGTATTTCTATGTCCCCTGCACTGCTTTGCGCTGGAGATAATTAAGGAGCATAACTCTTTAAGGGTTTATAAAAGCAGAAAAAAAATAAAAAAATTACTTACAGACATTCTCTTTCTGACATTGTTGAAGTCAAGAATACTCAACAACTCATATACTCTCTGTTCACCTTGGATCTCTACTGTTATAGTTGTTGGTGTTCTAGACTGTAAATAGTGATTTAAAAATTTTAATTAAAATTAAATCTAATGAAATTTTTAAGATATAACATTAAATATTAGTTTAAAGAAAAGTCACATTATATACAATCCTAAGTAAAGTTTCTGCAGTGAAATTCAAATTCAAATTAATAAACTGTTAACACAAAGATATGTCTCGCCTATTTGTTATTTTGATAATGCAAATGTTGAAAATAAAATAGCAATACTTTAACAAGTAAGTTATGCAAATATTCAAAGTCAATGAACCATGACTGAAGGTACAGGGCTAAACAATCTCCATTCAAATCAGATGTGCCAATGCTAATACAACTGCATACCAAATACCATTGACTTTTCATGTTGTTCTCTTAAACAAACCTAAAAAAAACATTAACTTGTAAACTATGTAAAAGTTTCAAAGTCAATGAACCATAATGAGGGGTGGGGTTATATAATCTCCGTAGAAATGAAACTTGCAAATGCCAATACACTTGCATACCAAATATCATTGACTTAACATTAGTGGTTCATCTTAAACTGACCTAATCACAAACTAATACATGTTAACTAAGCAAAAGTTTCAAAGTCAATAGACAGTGACTGAGGGGTAATGACCAAATATTCTCCATGGAAATGAGATGTGCTTATACAACTGCATACCACTTATCATTGACCTACCACTAACGGTTCCCCTTAAACTGACCAAATCACAAACTAATACATGAAAACTAAGCAAAAGTTTCAAAGTCAATAGACCATGACTGAGGGGGCGGGGCCAAATAATCTCCATGGAAATGAGATATGCCAATGTTTATACAACTACATACCAAATATCATTGATCTACCACTAGTGGTTCCCCATAAACTGACCTAATCACAAACTAATACATGTAAACTAAGTAGAGTTTCAAAGTCAATAGACCATGACTGAGGGGGTGGGGCCAAATAATCTTCATGGTAATGAGATGTGCCAATGCTAATACAACTGCATACCAAATATCATTGACCTACCACTAGTGCTTCACCATAAACTAGACCTAATCACAACTAATACATTGTCGACGCTGCCGCCGCGGGAAACAGCATACCTATGTCTTGCTTTTTGACTCCATCAAGGCGAGGCAAAAATACAGCAAAAGATTTTAATCCATAGCTGCTATACTTTATAGATATATTTTGGTATTAAGGGTTTAACATAAGGTTTTGGGACTTTTTGCATTTCTGTTTGAACAAGCAGTCTGAGAGTATTGCATGGCAATACATAGTCCCATACCGATTAAAAATTCATTGTACTGGAACAAAAATGCTAACTTGATCTATAACTTGTCGTGTAAACTATATAACAAATATCAAGTCAATATCTTCAAGCATGACGAAAAAAAAGTGTGAAAAACTGATTATTTAAGTGAATTTTTCTAAGTCCAAGGACCATAACTCTGCACAAAATCATCAGACCGGAACAAAATTTAAACTTGATCTGTAACTTGTCAAGATTAAACTATATACCAATTATCAAATCAAAATCTTTAAGCATGAAGGAAAAAAGTGTGGAAAACTGATTATTTGGGTGAATTTTCTAAGTCCAAGGACCATAACTCTGCACAAAATCATCAGACCGGAACAAAATACGAACTTGATCTGTAAATTGTCATGATAAAACAATATACCAAATATCAAATCAACATCTTCAAGTACGAAGAAAAAAAGTGTGGAAAACTGATTGCCGGACTGACGGATGGACAGACAGACAGACGGAGTGCAAACCTAAAGTCCCCTTTGACTTCGTCGATAGGGGACTAATAGGAAAATGTGACTAGGAAAGGTCTTCTAGAAAAGACATTATATGACAGTTGTTATCCATTCGTTTGATGTGTTTGAGCTTTTGATTTTGCCATTTGTATAGGGACTTTCCGTTTTGAATTTTCCTGGGAGTTCGGTATTTTTGTGATTTTACTTTTTACATAATTAACACAGTCCAGCTGACCAAATTAACTTCAGAGGTGGCTATTCCATTTTCAAAGAAGTACCCCTTGGCAGCACAGAATTTAAAATGTAACATAACTAATAAACAAAGCAAACCTTGAAAACATAGCCAAAGTTTCTAGCTGCTGACACAAGTGCACCTTCATCTGGAGACTGAGCTTGATATTCAAGTTTGTCTGAAATGATGATAATTCAAATAATATAAAATGCAGTTAGTTCAAATAATTAAGGTTAATCTAATTTATAAATTTGTTCAGTTCTATTGAAGTTATGGATCCATGCTTAGTGTAGAGATTTTTTTTATTCTTGTATTCTCTTCTATAATTTGTTAAAAAAAATCTTTATTTCATAGATTTTTGTCTTCATGGTTACAGAATATAAACTAGTGTTGGGTTACATGAATGTTCCCTCCTGTTGCAAAGGCCATTGTTCTGTGAAAAGGTCATCTAATGATGAAACACACACAAAAAAATCAGATTAACATCTACACCATAAAGAACAAAATTCATACAACCATTTAATTTCAAGAGGATGGGAGGACAGTTTGGTGGTTAGAATGAGGAACACATGTGGGTAGCACTATATCCATGGTAAAAATTTAAATAAACAAATTGACACATTAAAATGTCTTGTCTGTTGCAATATTAGAATTAATAATGGGGTAAATGAATTCTATAACGGAGTTAAGATACATAGAAACCTGTCTGGTGCAAAATACTTTCTTAAATTTTGGCTAACCTACATGAAAGTAGGAATAAGGTATAAACCAATTTTTTAGTGTCAAATGCTGTTGCCCAAAGACTGATATCAAAGTATCCCCTTACACCAAAGACAAGATAACAAAAACATTGTTAATACACTTGTAAAATTAGTACTGCTTGAAATTGTCAAAGATCAGTTTTTTTAGGGATTTTTACATTACCAAAATAATAATAACAATAAATAAATGAAATAGAAAAAATGTATAAAACAAAATAAATTTACCACTGCCAAAAAACAAAAAATCTTAAGAAACAAGAAATGATTGTAACAGGATGCTGTTACGAAGTCTCCCAAACGAAGCTCCCATAATTCGTAATTCCCAGGGTCGCCTGACATTGGACAAAGTCCAGTGAAAATTGGTTTGGTCCAGGAAAGTTATTTGCATTAGTGATGCCTGGGGACTAACCCTGCATATCATTCAAATCATCTTGGCATGACAAACCAGAATATATATGGTTTAGGGGTGGGGATCTCGACCATTTACAAGATACTAGAACATTGGGGGTGGGGGAACCCCTGGGGATTGACCCTAAACGTCATTCAAATGTTCGAGACATGACGAACAGGAATATATATGGTTTAGGGGTGGGGATCACGACCATTTACAAGATATTAGAACTTTCTCAAATGACAGGGGGTCGGGATGACCCCTGGGGACTAACCCTGTATATCATTCAAACCATCTTGGTATGACAAACCAGAATATATATGGTTTAGGGGTGGGGATCTTGACCATTAACAAGATATTAGAACTTTCTTAAATAGCAGGGGGTGGGGGTGACCCCTAGGGACTAACCCTGTATATCATTCAAACCATCTTCATATGACAAACCAGAATATACATGGTTTAGGGGTGGGGATCTTGACCACTTACAAGATATTAGAACTTTCTTTAATGGCAGGGGGTGGGGGTGACCCCTGGGGACTAACCCTGTATTTTATTTGATGTGCTTTATCATGACAAACCAGAATATATATGGTTTAGGGGTGGGGATTTCGACCATTTACAAGATATTAGAACTTTCTTAAATAGCAGGGGGTGGGGGTGACCCCTAGGGACTAACCCTGTATATCATTCAAACCATCTTTGCATGACAAACCAGAATATATATGGTTTAGGGGTGGGGATCTTGACCACTTACAAGATATTAGAACTTTCTTAAATGGCATGGGGTGGGGGTGACCCCTGGGGACTAACCCTGTATTTCATTTCATGTGCTTTATCATGACAAACCAGAATATATATGGTTTAGGGGTGGGGATCTTGACCATTTACAAGATATTAGAACTTTCTCAAATGACAGGGGGTCGGGATGACCCCTGGGGACTAACCCTGTATATCATTCAAACCATCTTAGCATGACAAACCAGAATATATATGGTTTAGGGGTGGGGATCTCGATCATTTACAAGATATTAGAACTTTCTCAAATGGCAGGGGGTCAGGATGATCCCTAGGGACTAACCCTGTATATCATTCAAACCATCTTAGCATGACAAACCACAATATATATGGTTTAGGGGTGGGGATCTTGACCACTTACAAGATATTAGAACTTTCTTAAATGGCATGGGGTGGGGGTGACCCCTAGGGACTAACCCTGTATTTCATTTCATGTGCTTTATCATGACAAACCAGAATATATATGGTTTAGGGGTGGGGATCTTGACCACTTACAAGATATTAGAACTTTCTTAAATGGCATGGGGTGGGGGTGACCCCTGGGGACTAACCCTGTATTTCATTTCATGTGCTTTATCATGACAAACCAGAATATATATGGTTTAGGGGTGGGGATCTCGACCATTTACAAGATATTAGAACTTTCTCAAATGGCAGGGGGTCGGGGTGACCCCTGGGGACTAACCCTGTATATCATTCAAACCATCTTAGCATGACAAATCAGAATATATATGGTTTAGGGGTGGGGATCTCGATCATTTACAAGATATTAGAACTTTCTCAAATGGCAGGGGGTCGGGATGACCCCTGGGGACTAACCCTGTATATCATTCAAACCATCTTAGCATGACAAACCAGAATATATATGGTTTAGGGGTGGGGATCTTGACCACTTACAAAGATATTAGAACTTTCTTAAATGGCAGGGGGTGGGGGTGACCCCTGGGGACTAACCCTGTATTTCATTTAATGGGTTTTATCATTTAGAACATTTTCAATTAAAAAGATTGTGTCTATCACAAACGGTTTTCAAGTTATAATCATTTGAAAATTTTAAAAAATAAAATCCCATAGGGTTCTATAGTAAAACCCTCTTTTCTTTTTGCCCCTCAAAGTACCCCTTTATAAACCCCATTGCACAAACAAAACCCTGATTGCACCACTAGACATGTTAGTCTAACATATTGTGAAACCCTAAGTTAATCTGACAAGCGGTTTTGGAGAACGGGTGCGGACAAGTTCAAATTTAAAAGCGGCGGAAGAGGAAGAGGAAGAAGAATAATAATAATAATAAGAACTGAGCAAAAACAATAAGTCTTCCCAAACTTCGTTTGGGAGACTTAACTAGTAATGGATATTGTTTTAATAGCTACAGAATAATGAACAAAATGTACAGAATAATCAATAGAAAAAATAAAGAATAGAAAAACTAGGGTACTAAAATATAAAGAATAGAGAAAACTGACATAAAGAATTAAAGAATACCGAAATGAGGGACCCTCATCCAGAATCTTATATATACAGGAAAATCTATCACCTGAATATCTCCAATACGTTTTCAGTCCACTATCTTACCATCTTTAGTTTCAGGCATCACAGTATGACATAAGGCTAACAATGTAAAGAACTGTTCCACTTTAAAATCTTTTTCTCTCATTTTCTCTATCAACTGTCTATCGTAAAACTCAAAGTTGGGCTCTGCATAGGGATTGCTGGATAGGTCAACTTTTGGTGTATTCTGAAAAAAATTTAACAATCAGAAGTTCAATTTATTTTTAAAACAGAAAAGTAATTCAAATATTTATTCCTTTAGGAGTTGTATCTTTTTTAATATGCACATGATTGCAGTAGAAAAGGAGATTTTTGTTCTGCACCCTAAAATATATTTAACATGAATCATATTTGAGGGAAAAAGTTAATTATATAAAGTAAGCTTCACTGTTCATAACTTTTCACTTAGACAAATTATATTTAAAAGTTCTGTATAACAACTCCCATCCCCTCCCAGTCTCAATGGTTAACTGGTGACAAGCACAAAACATCAAGGTGTTAGAGAAAGGACTGTTTCTTGGTATAGTCATGCCCTCCTGTGGTCTGTGGAAAAGGAAAATGGAGATTTTTAAGAAATTAAGCTTTGGCATAGTCATTAATACACAACTTTAATAGAAATTAATCATTTCATTTTGATATTTCTGAAAAAGATAAAAAATATCAGTGTATAAAAAAGCAATGGCTTGTCTATTTTATTTTGTAAATTAAAAACATTGGAGAAAACTATATCTGATTACATGCAAGATCAAATATTTTTTGAAAAGGTTTTTTGTATAAAATTTACATAGGACATGCAGTAATTCCTTTTTGGTCATGTTTTGGTTAAATACTCATAAAAGATTGATTGTAACTTGTCTAACCAAGAGCACTAGGTAAACCATAAGATTTCTAACCATGTTGACGGTTAACTTATACAATTTGTGTAGTTAGAAATTCCTGTCTCTTCCACAAGTTTTGAATTTATTTTTTAATCCATTTTAATATTAGAAGTGTAGCAAATCCATATCTTCATGCCCCTTTCATAATGATGTTGCAGTGAAAATGTGACAAAAGCCTCAATTAATATAATTAACATGTTCTGAAAACTTTATTCGGAATTTTGAAAAATTATTACATAAAATGGTATTTTACAAAAGGCACTAAAATTTAACTTCTGTTTGATCCTTACTTTCAAAAGCACAGTTAACCTCCTTACAAATTTTACAAATGTTGAGAGAAAGCTTTTGAGTATAAATATTCAGCGTAGTATTATTTGTACATACACTGTACATGATGTATGTATATCAATTGCATACTAGATAGTCATTTAGATATACAATATGTATAAATGTATGAACAATAATAAGTAAGAACATGTTTCCTGAAAAATATAATTCTCCATGCCTATATCATCACAAAAGGAAAGATAACATATATTTGGATAGTTTTGTGTGGCAAACTATGATTGCAATTTCATCACTTGTTATATAATGTTATATTTGCTATTTCATCTCCCAAATGATAGAAATAAATTATTTTTTCATGTGTTTCTAACAGTTAAGACTTTTGTTGAAATTGTATAAAATTGCCTCCACACAAAAGTGTCCATGGTAACAGTAAATAATTCATTTCAACTTACTATAAATGTAAACAATCATCACTTAACATAATAATGAAACAAACAAAGCTAAAGAAGGCTCAACATGATTTCTGCATCATATCTTAATACTTACTTCGGCAATTTCTAATATTAAGTTGATATCATCCTGCATATTTCAAATATATTTATGAAATTTTTGTTTATGTCATTTTTTAAAAATTTTGTTTCATACTTAAATAGATGTCAACTTTCAAACCTCCAAAGTTGGAGATCTCCTTCCAAGGAAAATATCAGATTTTAAATAGAGTATAATAATTTAGGAGTAAGAGCTCTACTCAAGGTTAAGAGTGTAACTTCTTCTGTGGATTAGTTATTCAGTGAAATTGTAAACTAAAATCAACAAGAAAGGATGGTCTTGAACAAAAACTAGGTTTTTATGCATATCACACAGACATGGCTTTTTCCTGAATACATGCATCAAAATGACAAAACCTCTGGATTGTGATGTTAAAAATTCATTCATTTATCACTTTACTAACAACAATTTTTATTTTTTTTTTTTTAAGACAGTTTTAAGCAATGCAATACTGTTTTTGTTTCTACAGTATAAACCATATAAAATTATGTTTTAACCAATCTTTTTGTGCAATATATTTGATTACAGTCAATTTTTTTTTGTGAGTTGTGTTGAAAATTGTTCTAAGCAGAACTAGTATAAATTTTTGGTAAAGAAAGCGAAATGAAATCCAACCATACCAACTGAGCAAACAATTTTCATACCCCACCTAGGGGCATTATGTTTTTCGGTCTGTGCGTCCTTTCGTTCATCTGTCCGTTCGTCTGTCTGTCTGGCTTCAAGTTAAAGTTTTTGGTGCTTCAGGTTAAAAGTTTTTGGTCAAGGTAGTTTTTGATGAAGATGAAGTCCAATCAACTTGAAACTTAGTACACATGTTCCCTATGATATGATCTTTCTAATTTTAATGCCAAATTAGAGTTTTGACCCCAATTTCACTGTCCACTGAACATAGAAAATGATAGTGTGAGTGGGCCATCCGTGTACTTAGGACACATTCTTGTTAAAAAACTTTGAATATGTTTAATTGAACTAATCAGTCAAAAGACAAATGGTTAAAATATGATAACTTATACTGTAAACTGACAAACTTCTTATTTAAACATAAAAGGGATGATGATTGTTATTTTATTTATTGAGGATTAGTTAAGTTTACAACATTTTGTCATACATGTGATGGACTGTGAAACTCAGATCAGGAGATTGGGAAATTTTGGTCAGGAGATTAGGACTCAGATCAGGAGGTTTTTGATCGACATAAATTTTGTTGTAAATGTAACCGTGTGATGTAGAAATTGTCTTTTAAAGTGTTTTTTTCTTCAACTTTCCATCCAAATGTAATATGTTTATGGTACCCTTGTACTATTAAATTTTCTTTAACTTTATTCAATCTAACATTCTGTTTTTCATACATTCTTTAATTTCATATTTTTTTTATGTCTATATTCTATACAACAATCACTGCAGAAGGCACATTCTTTCTTGCTGTTATCATCCATATACTGTTATTGTTTTTGGAAGCTTTTAACAACTCTGATTAACTTAATAGCCCTTGTGCAGACGGTATAATTTAATAGAAAGGTCATACTTATTAAATAAATTTCAGTTTAAGCCTTGAAAAGAAGTGTAAAACCCTCAAATAATTTCCAAATTATTATTTTTTTATTTGTCCTAAGACATTTAAAATCATTTTATTACCATCCTTTTATGATTATTTTGTTCAATTCATGTTTCATTCATATTCTTTTAACAATTAACATTATTTAAAGGAAAATAACTTGAAACAGAATAAAACAAGGGAAGTAACCCAAAATTTATTTCAATTACTTTTAAATACACAAAGTTTTTATTACACAACGGCAGTTAGCCTGAGGTAAAAATCGATGATTACCAATATGCTTGACACCCAAGCTGGCAAGTGAAGCCATATAATTATGCATGTTCTTTGATTTACAGGTAAAATTTAACTTCAGGTAATGTCAGTTACACTGGATATGGCAGCTGAAAGTTTTCATTCATGAAATGTTAAATGTTTTGTGGTGTTAATGTGCAAACCTTATCTTACCAAACAAGCTACCTACAAAACGATACATTTCTTTCATTGAACAATGGAAACAAAGTGCTGAAAACACTATTTTATAAAATAGTTTGATAATGATTTTAGATATATATCTTCTTGACTGGTACATCTTGATACTTTCTATACTGAACCTGAGACAAAGAAAGCAGAAGGGGAATCAGATTTCAAAAAGAAGAAATGTTTGAGTAATTTTAAAGAATGACAATCACAAGGTTTTGGTGTATGTTTTTGGAAATATTCCTTATTATGATTCTAAAGCAGCATACTACCTCAGTAATGACGATAGAATTTCCAAACTCATCAAAGGCATCTCCATATGATTTCCCAGCTATTGAACATTTCTTAAATTCCATGATATTCTACAAACAGAAGTAAAATAATAAAACTTTAAAGTAAATGTAATGGTTGGTATATTAATCACCTAAAATAGCATTTTAACTAGAAGTTGCTGTAATGTCTGTGATAATGGTAAAGAACTTTATAAGATCATCCCTTTCAATAGTTTCCAGACACAATTATGTGTTTAACTGTTATGGAATATCTGTGTCATAGATGACCACTGATATGATCCACTTGTCGTAACCGCAATCCTGATCTCTTTTCCTCGATTGAGACATAAACCAAAAAGTGACATCATTTGATTTTTGAAACACTGTGGGTGCCACATGGACCAGGAACAGTTTACCCTTCCAGAGCACCCGAGTTCATCCCCCTTTAGTGGGGTTCATGTTGCTTAATCTGTGGTTTTATAAGAAATCAAACGGTTTTGTCTTTTCTTTTTTCTTTTTGGCCATGATGTTGTCTGTTTTTTTTTAACTTATGATTTTTTATTATCCCAATAGTATCTTCTCCCCCTATTTGTACTTGATTTGACATTTTATTTGAAAAAGTTTTCAGTCTAACAAGACATGTGAGCCTTGTTACATTGAAAGAAGTTGAGGTTTAATACCTGTCTAGTTATAGTTAAAGACATAATTTGATAATTGTTGCCATTTTGTCAACTGAGTGACTAATTGTTGTGTTGGCTCATGTTTAACAGTCAATTATGGCAAAGTAGTATACACTCTGGTGGATGGTTGTCTCATCGGCAATCATACCACATCTCCTTATTTTTATACGCTTATGTGGTATTTCAGATTTGATGAAATTTTGTATGCATTTAGAACTTGTGGAACTGCATCTGAGTATGGGATATTTATATGTAGCATTTATATCTTCAGAGATATAATCAATTAAAAATGTATGCCTTCTGGGCATCAATAAATAATACTTTTAAAACACAAAAATTCAGATGAAAATGGGTTTAATATTTGACAATCAATCTTATGATTAAGAAAATTCAGGCAAGTGGGCAAGCTCATATTCATAACCCAAACAAATCTAGCAAATTATTATGTAATGTTCAAGTTTATATTCTACTTTGTTAACAACTATATTTACCTGAGTTAAAGTCCCAGTCTTATCTGAGAATATATATTCTATCTGACCTAATTCTTCATTCAAAGTTGTTGTCCGTGCTTTGGCAGCGGTCTTGACCTTGTCATAGTACATCTTCACATCCCAATTTATCCACATGCTATTGACTAATCTAATTATCTCTACACTAAAATATCCATAAATGTATCTATTAAAATCTTGCATGTCATATAATTATAGTTTTATGCAGAGGTTGATGTAAGTTTTTACAGACATAAGACATACAAATTGAGCAATGCTGTAGCTGTGAAATGTGAAAGACTTGCAACAACCTATTCTCCTACTACTGGTACTTCAAAGCTTACAATCTGCCACTGGACGTTAAGCAACCAACAATCAATCAATCAATCAAAGCTTACTGATATCACAGCAGAAGCATGAATTTAAGGTCACAGTGACCAAATGTTGAAAGCAGCATTTCTTTTTATATTATACACAAAAAAAACCAACTGAGTACTGAGTAAAATGGCTGTTTAACGTCAAATATGTGATTTTGATATCTTTAGGACACCACAAATGACTTTTCTGTACTACACTGACCAGGTATAACATTCTACTCATGAATTGATATAATCTACATAACTTTTTTAAGAGTTGAAGAATTTTACTATTTTTGCAACTTCAGCTGCCTCATAACTTGCATACAGTATTCTGGAAAATCCCAATACTTCTAGTATCTGATAGAACTTGTCCAGATATGCTACCTCTGAATATTTGAGATTTTCCTGATTTTTTTCTATTGACAATGAATTTTGTTTTTGTCTTTAAACAGGTACTGGAGTGTGAACACAATTAAACAGATAAATGTCTTACCTGACATATAAAGATATAGGCACAACTGTATTCAAAATAATGATGTATGAAAAGAAGACTAAGAGTGCAGTGACAGTGGCTCCCTCTTGTTTGCTGCCATCTTTATCAGGGGATCCTGGGATATAACTATCCCATGGTAAAAAGACCTGAAAGTCATTTCCTTTTAACGTCTCCCATATACCACATGCTGCTGTCATTACCAAACAACAGGTCAATAGAAACAGAAAGATCTGAAAAAATAAATAAAATTCCAAAGTCAGGTAAGATAATAAGTGTACTTGGTTAGATTGTAAAAGAACAAACATTATAGCACCAATAGAGAAGTCTCTTCTCCCTATGCATTCTATGATTCTGAAGAAGTGCAAAAACTGCTGTAATTGGGTGATATTTCAGAAATTGACTGTCTCTTTTAAAGTATAAATGATTTATATATCATTATTTCAAATGCTGGCATCTAATAAAAAAAACACACAGACCATATTACACCATAGTTTTGATGTATTATAAATTTTCTATTGGTAAATAAAAGAAAAACAGTACTGTAGTTGAACAGTTGCCACTTTCCCTTAGGGATTTGACAGCGCAATCTTACTGGCAACATGTAGCAATCATTATTGAAAAGAACAGACAATTCGTAGTAAATCTCAAAATTCTGAAAACACTGAACATGAAATGAGGACATTTTTTTTTTTTTAACAAAATACTTATTTTTTATGACAAACATGATAAAAATAAACAAACAAAAAACCCTAGCAAGCTGTATAGAATACTATTAAAATAGTTTACTTTCAACCTACCCCAATAATTAAAACATTCATTAGTCTATCAATATTGGTCCTTTTGAATATGGCTTTACCACTATTCTGCATCAACTTGGTGTCCTTGCCAGCAAAGATGACCAAACCATAACACCATTTGGTATTACGTAAAACACACCCACGTAACAATATCTTCTCATTATCAATGGAGTATGTATTGTTCTTATAAGTCATCTTTCCTTCAAACTTACTCAAGTTGTTGTTAGGAGCTTCACACACTATATCAGCTAAAATATAATAAGGATGGTGATTAGGACTTGCTAGCATAGACTCATTTAGAAGGGAAACTTTAATGTTTATGACAACAAATGCCAACAGCACACAGGGCCAAAACTTAGCCAGTTATTACTAAGTCATAAATTCTGCTCAATAATGGTTAAAGTGACACTACCCAAATTCAACTTGATCTGTGTTTTATCAGTGGAAATCAAAATTCAACATTGCATTGTATAAAGCATTGATTGTAGTTGATTCAACTATAATCATGGACAAAGGAACAAAACTCCAATTTTAAAAATTTCTAGATATTTAGAAGAAAATAAAAATTTTGCAATTTTTCCATTTATAAAGGGGCATAACTCTAGAACGGTTAAAGTGACGCCACCAAAATTCAAACTTGATCTGTGTTTTGTGGTAATAAGCATTGTGTATAAGTTTCATAACATTTGGTTGAGGCAAACATAAGTTAGAGAACAGAAACTAAAAATTTTGCAATTTTTCCATTTACAAAGGGGCATTACTCTAGAACGGTTAAAGTGATGCCACCAAAATTCAAACTTGATCTGTGTTTTGTGATAATAAGCATTGTGTATAAGTTTCATAACATTTGGTTGAGGCAAACTTAAGTTAGAGAACGCATACAGACGGACAAGGGTAAAACTTAATGCCCCCACCGCTACGGCAGGGGCATAAAAAAATGCCGACCTATTGACCCTTTTTTTGTAAGGATGTAACTTGAACCACACATATATTTTTATTTTCATTATGACTGAAGCAAAATGTCGAAAATATATTTGTTTCATTTTCCAGTATTCTACATTTACAGAGAGTCTGGGATTAAATGTTTTTGACATGATAAATTTGTAAACCTCAATGGATAGTTATGAAACTTTGACAAAAGATATTCTTCAAGATCAAGAAATAACACCTGTAGAAAAAAAGTTTGATTTCAAAAAAAAATTCTGTATTTAACAGATAAATGGACTTACTTTTAACATTCAGCATTACGCTTATATACTGATGGCAGCAATCACAGACAAGACACCTTTACGAGTTTTTATCATATCAAGCAATTATACACTTGCATAATTAATTACCATGGTTATATAATTTAAAGACAAATAGCAATGAAGAAAGGAAAATATCCTAGTAGTACATGTATAGAAGTTTTAACTTGATACTTATATGGATGTAAAGCATGTATTACCATCAAAGTTTGACAGTTTTTGTATATCATCTTCTAGTTCTGATGTTTCTGGAATGGCTTGTCTTACTTTCAAATTTGTTTCTCTGAAAAAAAATAAGCTGAGATTAAGTAATAACACATAATCATATTTACATTTACCTATAAAAAATATATTAAAAGCAAATCTCAAGATGCTGAATATTTTAGGTAATGTTTTCTATTATCATATTGTAAAAACGAACCACACTCATATCAATTAACCAAAGAAATTCCTGTAACTTTGTAAAATATTTGGCTTCTGGTGAGAAATATAACAGAGACTCCTACAGCTATGTAACTCTTACAGAAAATTTCTTTCACTTAAAAACAATTATTTTAATATCATGCTTGCAATATATAGCTTGTCATTTTTATCAAAAATACTGTAAATTTCCAAATTTTTGCAATGTTTTTATTGTTGCAAACATTGCTACGGGATAGCTTTTGCAAAATTTAAAACTCACATTTCAAATTTAAATAGCATTATTTGAAGGCAGCATTTCCTGAAATTTCAACAATTAACACAATTTGGTCCATTCTTCAATAACCGCAATAATAAATAACGAATTTACAGCAACAAACTTTTTCAGAGTCACACAAAATTTGATAGATAAGATAAATGAAAGAGACTTATCAATGTTTTGATGAGATTAATCAGAATAAGAAAATCTCAGATTTTAAAAGGATTATCAACTTAATCAAATTAATGATTTTATTCACATACCCATCTAGTTCAGCAGTTTCTATGTAACACAAACTATGTGGTTCACTGGTAGACAAAAGTAACAGGTCAGCCTGCAATAAAATGTCATATATTTTATACATTGATACATGCATTTCAATACAAAAAGTTATCTAAAAAGGACAGATGGTTTTTTATCTCTTTGTGACATTTAGTTGCTGTCTCATAGACAAATACCTTTCATCCAGAAAAAAAACTATTAATTATTACGAATTATGAATATGAATCCTTTTTTGTACTACTCCACAAAATTTTAGATTTTTAATGTGCTAGTTCATAAGTAACAGTCTGCAGAAAGACATGGGATTCTGCTCCAACAGTTTATTCCGACTCAAAGCCAACATGTCTTTACTGCTACTCAAAAGGATCACATGCTTATGGCTTGTTATGACAGCATTTGTAAGATGTCTTTACCTATTATAGTCTATTTTTGAAGATATTACCCAATATCTGAGTTTTTCAATCCTCAAATGTATTATTATTAACAATTGACAAAGAATTCCAATGAAACCTTTACTAATGGCCCTCTTCCGCATTCAGTGAGGTGTCAAATTTTGCTCTGTGCTGATAGCCTCATTTTGACTTCCGAGATGAAATACAGCAATTAAAGTGCTGTTCCTTTGCTTTAAGATGTTGTCAGTGTGTGTAGGTATTTTGTGTCAAGAATTCATACTCATTTTCTGTGTTTCTATCAATAATTTTAAAACACTTTAAACTTTTCTGTAACTACTGAATATTATCAAACAACTTACTGCAACGAACTGATTATTTTCCATCTTGATAATATCCCCCACAACGACTTTATGCCATTTTTCATTCAGAGGCTGTCCATTCCTTAGAACATCAGACAACCTGTTGTTGACCTGGTTATCACTACTGTGTCGTCTCTGTCAAATGTAACCAAGAATTTGTTATACATCAATAACAATGTTAAGCCTTGATGGAATTTTTTGAAACTTGGACACAAGCTTCTTCATGATCAGTATTCAGAGCAAATCTTTTGAATGAAAGTATTTTATATTTCCATATTTCACTAATAGAACAAAATTTTTATGACCCCATTCAGGTAACATCTTTGCTTTGTGAGAGTGATAAATATCAACATTTGGCAAGGAAATCAACTTATTTAAAATCTCAGTTTAGTAAATATTTTAAAAATTAAGTACTGGTAACAACAGTTCAAAACATGAATTCAGAATTTAAAAGGCGAATTACTTAATGCAAATCTTTGAAAGCCAATATTAATTCGAAATGAATCTGTAATTTCTTTGCTTTCCATGGTAGATTACTTAATACAAGAGGCTGTCGAGTGACAGCAAACCGGATTTTCCTGCAGAGGTCGAACCCTGAACAGTTGAGCAAGTATGGACACAACATTTTAGCTTAAAACAGCTCTGAATTTCGATTGTGATTGAATATTTAAAATAGATTATTATCTAATTAATAATTAAAATGATATTTGCAAATTTGAACCCCAAACAGGATCATGTAAAAATTAAACATTAACACTCACAACAAAAAAAAAATACCACATAACAACTGTGACATCTACCTCCATAACACACATGACTTAAAAAAAATGGTTATAAAGAAATTTTGATGTTATCATGTGTTCATGGAATATGTTTGAGTTATTTCCCTTTGAACAGAAATATAGTTTAACATAGTACTCTAACATTAGACATGATTAATAGTTCTCTAAAATTAGATATGATGTAGCACAATGTATATCTATTTTCAAATTATATTCAAATATAATTAATAGTTCCAAATATTTTTTCTTTTATTTGTCAAAAACTAATACAGATCTGCAACTTATCTATGATCAATGTCAACAACTTTAAATGTAATGAAATATGTCCTATAATAAAAATAGATTATTGTCTAATTAAAGGAGTTCACTTCAAAAAAAAAAAAAAAATATATATATATATAGCATTCAGAAAATTAGTTTATACAGAATATCAAACAAACCTTCCACAAAATTCTTCAAACAATTTACCAAAGAAAAGAAAAAAAGTCCAAAATGTCATTTATCATTAATACAATGTCTTTTAAAAATCTTTAAAAAATGAGTTATTTCCCTTTGTACAGAAATGGATTAATTCATCAAAAATTGAATTCTTGGAAAGCGCTATAACTGAACAACGAGAAAAGCTAAAATTGTGAAAATTGAACTTGACCTTCATTTAGTCACAGGAAACAACATATCTAAATTTGAAAAAAATTCTTCAAAGCGTTTTCATGTAAATGAACGGATACTGTTTGGCAGCCGCCCGCCTGCCGTACATCCCCAAATCAATAACCGATTTTTACTTCCAAAATCAGGTTATATATAAAAATTTTAAGAATGTGAAAATGTATTCTGAAAAAGTAGTTACAATCAGGACTCATCCTCATAGAGGCCCTATTGTATATTGAAAACTTTCTTGAAGAAACATATATACATGTGCCTTTTGCATTAAAAAGTAAATATGGTTTTCTTTCCCTCATTTTGATATCTTAGAAACCTTTCTAAATATCATGGAAATCTGTGATCAAGCTACTGTTACTGCACATTTAATTCTTCTAATTTTGCAATAGAGTTACGGATAACTAATTTTGCAATAGAGTTACAGATAAAGATTCTGCATTTTTACAACAGACTTATATTATGAATACATATCAATGCATATAATAATGAAATAAAATAAATTCCATCATTTTCTCAATAATAAAAATACAACATTGTAACAAAAAATCTATCAATCAATAAAGTCTATAAACTGCATCTAAAATATAAAAAAATAACAGTAAAAACAAGACAAACGCTCAAGAAATTAAAACATAATTTGACCACCCACAACACATGAAACAGCTGTTAAATACTGACGTACAAAGAAAAATATAGAATAAATGAGTTTGAAAAATCATCACGTTTACAAATGTCAAAGGTTGTAATACTTCTAAAATATAAAGAAGGCAACAATAAGGAAAAAAAAACCATATGTTCAATACAGATGTTAAATAAAATATGTATTTATTTACCAAAATTGATTATTTTTTCAAAAATTTTTGCTGTTGTTTTTTATTCAGTTCAAGATAGTAGTAAAAATATGTTAGGGATCTAAGGACTGAAAATTTTCTCATGTAAGGCTAAATAATATATATAATCATAATGGAAGAATGTTACATTTTCCGTAATTGAAGACCCATTCAAAATTCATGTAAACTCATGTTTAATCTACCAGTATTCAAACTTTTTATTGTATTGAGATGGAAACAGAACAGTAATGTTTACAGTTTACACTCCCAAAAACCTACTAAACCATGCAAAGAAATCAAATATAACAATCGTTCACAAAAACCTCTTTAAAAAATCTTTTTCAAATTCATTACACAAATGTTAATTTCACTGCATGCATTGGGGGGAAAAATTCACAAATGTCAACATGCTGAATTCCACAGAAAGACATTTCAATATTATCAGCTACAAATCATGCTCTACGATGATTCCAACTCACAAAATCGTCATTTATATCTTTTACTGCAGAAACACACAATACTGCCATCAACGGTATTAATGTTGTTAGCGGGGTCAATGAAGAGATCCATGGGATCAGCTGTTTAATATAGACAAGACAAAAATATGTTAGTGACAGAAATTGAGGAGTGAAACAAACCACAGGAATCATCCTGCAATACTGCATTCCATCCATTCCTCACTGCATCTGAGCTGAAAGTGCAATCAAAGCTGAAAGTAAGCTGAAGCTAAAAGCTAAGTGTATGATTTATGTCCCTTTCATAATTTTTCAAACGTTTGAATAAGTTATGCAAATTAAAAAAAATAATACATACCTATATACAGAATGATATATGTATGTATTAAAAAGAGACATTATCTCGGCAGTTTTTGTTTAAAGTGATGAAAAGAATATAGAAAAGTGTATGAATATACCAAAGAAAGAATTTTAAATAACAGTGAAAATTTGAGAACAAAAGAAGTGCAATATGTTAGTTGCAAAAACACAGCCATTGCAAGAAAGAATATGTTAGTTGCAAAACACAGCCATTGCAAGAAAGAATATGTTAGTTGCAAAACACAGCCATTGCAAGAAAGAATATGTTAGTTGCAAAACACAGCCATTGCAAGAAAGAATATGTTAGTTGCAAAACACAGCCATTGCAAGAAAGAATATGTTAGTTGCAAAACACAGCCATTGCAAAAAAAGGGTAAATGTGATAACTACCTGTCAAGAAACAGATCTAAATAAAGCTTCAAGCGGTGGAAGAAGGAAATACCTCATATCAATAAAACAATTCTATATAATATCATGAATATAAAATTATAAAAAATGAAAACAACACGTTAAATGATTGCATGTGTCCAAAAGCGCTTTTCTTGATTTACCTTCATCAGGAACGCTCAAAACCGAATATTTGAAAGAAATTAGCCTATTTATCAATTTAATTGGTTCTACATATGTCAAAAGCACTATATTATTTTCAATTTACTAAATATATGTAGTTTCACAATTAGAATAGCTTTACCTTTTGTTATTACATTTCATAAAAGAACTTTGAGATATTCCCTTCTTTTGTTAAGCAGAGCAAACCAATGTCACCAGGTGACCAAGATGTGTAGTCATGGTTACAGGTGAACTTACAAAGTCATCAACAGCATCTTTGATTGCTGTTACTCCTAAGACAAAAGCCAAAGGAACCAGGGTTGAGTACCATGGCAGTGAACTTACAGCTGGAATAACCTGAAATCATCAATTCATTAAAAAACAATGGACAAATATAAGATTAATTATTGCTATTTCAAAAAATGCATCATACGAAAAATGTTACCAAACTTAAAATGTGAGTTTTCATTTTTATTAAGCATATCACATTGCAAAAAAAAAAACCATCTAAAGATGTACCAAGGCTTATACAACTGCATACCAAATATCATTGACTTATGATACATGTAAGTGGTTCCTTTGAACTGACCTAATCACTAACTTAAATATGTAAACAATGCAAAAATATAAAAGTCAATAGACCATGATTGAGGGGGCAGGGCTCTGTCAAGTTGGGACATAAAATATTTTGGAATACCAATGCATATTACCATTATAGAAAAAAATAAAGCGTAGCTCATTAACCCATTATAACACATGTATAGACAAAAACTATACAAAGATTTCATTAATTCATTGAGCCATGAAATGATCTCAACAATGAAGCCATTAAAGGACCTACATTGCATGTATAATTCAAGTGGCGTTTGTTGCCACTCTCACAGTGACTGCCCAATTAAAATATCTTGCAGGAAAGATACAAATCATGTGGACTGGATGAGAATCTGTATATGAGATATGAAATATTAAACATGAAAGCAATCTAAACTTTAATTACAATCTATTTTTGTTAATGTTTACTAAATTATATATTTAAATCAATATTTCATACAAACATATACACAAGAATGAAAATTCCATTTAGGTTTTAAATTAGGGTGTTTTTAAAAACATTTTATTTATCTGAAGAATTACATGATAAATAAAATATAAGTACATTTAAACATCTGTAATTTATGACATTTCTTCAATAGTCTCTGTTATTATATTTATTCGCAATTTTTCTAGCTATAGGGCGTTTTAGAGCTTGACATATTGTACACACTGGCCACTTGTCTATTGTTGAAGACGATATGTCTTTCTGTTCTTTTTTGTCATTGGGTAGCTGCCTCATTGACATATACTACACACCTACTTTTTCCTATGGATTATAGGACAACACCTGCTTAAAAAAAGATTGACATCACCACACAGAAAGCTAAAGAATCATTAGTATGAATCCTACTAAAAATTGAGGGTGAATTTAGGTGCTCTTGTAGGGTAATAAGCTGTTTCTGTGGTAGCACCCAATTTTTTACCTCAGCAAATATTGGAAAATTTATATTGATATCCTGATTTTTCAAAATAAAAAATCAATTTACAGATAAAAGTTCTGCCAAGAATTACTTTCCATTTACAGATTGTTGTTTTGAACTAAAATATTAATCAAATTCTAGTTAAGATTTTGTTGGTTGAAATAAAATTTTGTCATTTGTTAATTGTTCAAAAACTTCTACCAAATAAACTGCCTTTTGACCAACACAAGCTTTACTAGACTTCACAAATTAACTAGAAATGGGGAATGTGTCCATGGGACAGATGATGATGCCCCCGCTTGCATATTACGTTATAAAGGGACATAACTCAAGAACTGTAAAAGTATTTGTACTTGGTCTGAGTTTTGTGGTAACTAGCATTGTGCATAAGTTTCATAACATTTGGTTGAGGCAAACTAAAGTTAGAGAAAGGAAACCAATTTTAGGACGTAAAGACGAACAAGGGTAAAACTTAATGCCCCCTCTGCCAGGGCGGGGGCATAAAAAAGAAATCCTATTAGAAAACTTAAATTGTCAACCTTTTTAATTTATAGGAGAAAATCACAAGGTGGCAAAAATAAGCCCAAGAATTTTCAATGGACAAATATCTAGGGAAATAAATATCAAATGTATATAGAGTCCAAACAAATATTAAGAGTTTTAAAGGATTTTGCCTATTGAATTTTAATGTGTTTTCTAATGAAAATTAAAGAAAAGAATAAATATACATTTTGTATCTAGAAATGAAGGCAATCTCTTGAGAACCCAGCTTACAGAGAGGTTCTAGATGGAAATTGTAAGGAGTTAGGCAAACAAACCATGTGACCTTTATGAGGATGTCCACAAAGGGATACTTACTGGAAAACTTGACATATATGTTACAATATGCTCCCATCCCTACCCTCAAATCATCAAAAGTCAGGACAAAGAAAATGTTCTCCAGTAATATGGTATTGTTACTAAAATTAGGAAGAGAATATTTTAACAAATGGAGAAATGAACTATGACCTTTGGCAGAAAGATTCAGTTTTAATCATAACCTTTTCTATGCCAATCACTTCACCTTTTACATCAGCAACATATGTTTACGTACCTGTAACACTAAGAGACAGAGGAAGTACGTGTTAGCCAATCTCCGAAACTGTTCCAATAGATTCTTCGGCAGGAAGGTAAGGAGTGTATACTTGGATGTACAGATATAATTGTTCTGAAAGTAAACAATGAGCATTATGTATAAGTTTTATAACATTTGGTTGAGGCAAACTAAAGTTAGAGAATGGAAACCAATTTTAGGACGTGCGGACAAACGGATGTACGGACGTACGTACAGACAGACAAGGGTTAAACTTAATGCCCCCGTCGCTACGGCGGAGGGGGCATTAAGTTTTATACAGTGTTGCACAAGTTTTATACATTGTTACATAAAATCATTATGATGATAAGAATATAATCTTATGAAATTGCATCTGCTTTATACTAAGAACAATCTTTATCTAACCACCAATAGATAAACTTCATCAGCGTTTGATCAGTTTGAAGAGATAAAATAGAAGCACAACTTAGAACTATATTTTGGTTAATTGATAATTGTTAATGGTGTATATTTCTTTGAAAAACATAGTTACAGCAACATTTTAAGATATATGTTACGTAGCCAATTAAGCATTTTATTCTGTAATAGAAAACAACATTTAGACAATAATTTGCTAAGGTTTTTGGGACAAATAACTACTACCCAGGTTAAATAACTTTACAGTAAAAGTGGTATGCTTATGATATGTGAAAATACTTTGTGAGACCATTTGATGTCACTGCTAGTTTTTTTTAAAGAGTTTTATTGTTCTAGTGATTAGCATTGTGTATGAGTTTTATAAATTTTAAATGAGGCAAACTTAAGTTTGAGTGTGGAAATGAAAAAAATTTCAATTTTCCAAGTTATAAAAGGGCATAATTCTAGAATTAATCAAAGCAAAAGTTTCAAAGTCGAAACTTTTTGACTGAGGGGGCAGGGCCAAATAATCTCCACAGAAATGAGATGTGCCAATGCTAATATAACTGCATATAAAATGACCTAATCACAAACTAATACATTGTTGATGCTGCCACTGCCAATGCTGGAAACAGCATACCTGTCTCGCTTTTTAACTCTGTCAAGGCGAGACAAAAATTCTGCAATTTTGAAATGTATAAACACGTTCACATGATTATTCCATATTTTATCCAGTTGCTCACTGTTAGGTGTATGACGAAATTATAGGGACACACCCTGCATTCTTTTTTCATCGAGTTAAAAATATTCATACTTATTGAGATAAACCAAAGAAAATAATATATAAAAAAAAAGAGATATCCAAATCAGTTATTTTTGATTAATATCTATTTACACAAGAATTTTTGGGGGTGAGTTTAGGCTGGGAAAATAACGGAAAAGAAGAGAAATAAAATGCTCCGCAGGGCGCAGCTTGATACGACCGCAGAGGTCGAACCCTGAACAGTTGGGGCAAGTATGGACACAACATTCAAGCTTGATACAGCTCTGAATTTGGATTGTGATTAAATATTTGACACAGCATAGGTTTCTGACACAGAATGAATGTGGTCTAAGAACTTAAAAATTTTAAATTGGACATTCAACTATTATGGTCCAATATCCAAAATCTAAATACATGGTTAGATTCAGCATATCAAAGAACCCCAAGAATTCAATATTTGATGATATCAAACAAAGTTTAATTTTGGACCCTTTTGACCTCAATGTGGACAAAGTTGATAACGGGGCCCAAAAATCAAAAATCTAAATACATGGTTAGATTCAGCATATCAAAGAACCCCATATATTCAATTTTTGTTGAAATCAAACAAAGTTTAATTTTGGACCCCGATTTGGACCAACTTGAAAACTGGGCCCATAATCAAAAATCTAAATACATGTTTAGATTCAGCATATCAAAGAACCCTAAGAATTCAATTTTTGTTAAAATCAAACTAAGTTTAATTTTGGACCTTTGGACCTTAATGTAGACCAATTTGAAAACAGAACCAAAAATTAAGAATCTAAATACACGGTTAGATTCGGCATATCAAAGAACCCCAATAATTCAATTTTTGATGAATTCAAACAAAGTTTAATTTTGGACCCTTTGGACCTCAATGTGGACCAATTTAAAAACGGGGCCCAAAATCCAAAAACTTAATACACGGTTAGAATCAGCATATTAAAGAACCCCAAGAATTCAAGAATAAAACCCCATTGAAATTGGTCAAGAAATAAGCAATTTATACGAAGTATCTTCTTTTGCACAATACTATGCAATTGAATATTTCTTGCTATTGCGCAATACTGTACAATTGACAATTTCTTGCTATTGCGCAATATTGTGCTATTGGATATTTCTTGCTATTGCACAATACTGTGCAATTGAAGATTTCTTGCTATTGCGCAATACTGTGCAATTGAAGATTTCTTGCTATTGTGCAATACTGTGCAATTGAAAATTTCTTGCTATTGCACAATATTTATTTTATAATAATTTACACATCCTGTTTGGTGTGTATCTCCTACCATATCATTATTTTTTGCTTTTAAATATAAAACAGAAATAACCAACTTAAAATGGAAAATTTTAAAAGAAAAAAAAAAGGAAAAAAAAAAAAATCCCCCCCCCCCCCAAATTTTTTGAACCCCCTTATGATTCATCACCCCCAAACTCAATCCCAGCCTTCCCTTTGTGGTATGGTACCTTGCAGTACAATTTCAGAGAGATCCATACACTTGAACACAAGTTATTGTCTGGAAACTAGAAAAATGCTTATTTTTGGCCCCTTTTTGGCCCCTTATTCCTAAACGTTTTGGGCAATTGCCCCAAACTCAATTCCAGCTTTCCCTTTGTGATATGGAACATTGTAGTACAATTTCAGAAAGATCCATACACTTACACACAAGTTATTATCTTGAAACTAGAAAAATGCTTGTTTTTTGCCCCTTTTTGGGCCCCTAATTCCTAATATTTTGAGGCAATTACCCCCAAAATCAATCCCAGCATTCCCTGTGTGATATGGAACCTTGTGGTACAATTTCAGAGGGATCCATACATTTGAACACAAGTTATTGTCTGGAAACTAGAAAAATGCTTATTTTTGGCCCCTTTTTGGCCCCTTATTCCTAAACATTTTGGGCAATTACCCCCAAACTCAATTCCAGCTTTCCCTTTGTGATATGGAACCTTGTAGTACAATTTCAGAAAGATCCATACACTTACACACAAGTTATTGTCATGAAACTAAAAAAATGCTTGTTTTTTGCCCCTTTTTTGGCCCCTAATTCCTAATATTTTGAGGCAATTACCCCCAAAATTAATCCCAGCATTCCCTGTGTGATATGGAACCTTGTGGTACAATGTCAGAGAGATCCATACACTAACACACAAGTTATGTCTGGAAGTTACAAAAATGCTTATTTTTGGCCCCTTTTTGGCCCCTAATTCCTTAATTGTTGGTACCATAACCCCCAAAATCAATCCCAACCTTCCTTTTGTGGTATTGAACCTTATGGTAAAATTTCATAGAGATCCATTCACTTAAACTAAAGTTAGAGTGCGAAAACCAATGTGTCTTCGGACGACGCCAGACAACGACGCCAGACAACGACGACGCCGACGCCAACGTCATACCAATATACGACCGCAAAAATTTTTTGCGGTCGTATAAAAACAACTCTCAGATGATAAAAGCAATTATACATGCATGTTAACATATCTTAAATTCTATGAATGATTTAAAGTAGATGTGAAGTATTCATAATTAATTTAGACAGCAACCCAATCACAAAACAACACAGCAAAAAACTTTATTAAGTTTTTTAGCCTCCCAAGTCTAGCTATAATATATAGAACAGCTGATAATACATGTGAAAAATTATCTTAACAGTGAAAAATGATTAGATATTGTTCTTCCACGTCGTAAATAGCATCATAATGCTAAATTCAATGATACCTTATCTAACCTGCTCCTTTTTCTAGAGTCTTTTAAAAAACATTGATTAGTTTGTTTATCGGGGCTATTGTCACCTGTGCATTTTACCTACACTAGCTTTATTTTCAGATCTCAACCATACCTGTTTTAATCAGTCTTCAATGACAAAAGGCATATATAAGAAGTTGTTCATTATAAATCATCACAAGATGAGCGCTTTACTTGAAAGCAATGGTGTAGTACATAAAAGAGAGACATGTACAAGTAAAACAGTAACAAACAATACTGTATCAAACTGTGTGCTTTAAACTGTTTGTTTTTGTAAAATTTGTTAATTTTATTATGTTGATGACCTCATATCGAAATCTAATATGGCATCACAGCACTTATCAAATTCTTTATAACGAAATTACTATAATATTGAAAAGAATAGCAAAACTACTATGTTCAGAATCTCAGGCCCTTATAATAGGTCTTATAACAAATCCCCCTTTTGAGTATTTTTTCTCAAAATGTATTTGAGAAGTCCAATAAAAACTAAATACTAGTAGTCTCTAAAAAGAAACGTTTTAATTTTAAGGATACTTTGGTCTCCAGTGTCGAGTTGTCTCATCGGTAATCATACCAAATCTTATTTTTATCTTTATTCAATTATAGAAAAAGAGGCATGGAGTATTCCACATTACAGTCCAACTACAATGAATATACAAGATCTTTAACAACAACATAACAATGACTATACCATATGTAAAGCTTAAAATTGTAAGGATCATTTTGAAAAGATGTCAGAAATCTTTTGAAATATATTATTTGTGTTCTTAAATGTTTGAATTTTACTACGTTACACGCTCTACACTTTTCGATGCCTAATAAGAAACACAAATATTCAGGTGAAAGTGGCAATATATTTAATCTAACACAAAAAAAAATAATTGGTAAAAAGCTGATTAAGAAATACCCTCTCCTTTTCATGTTTTTATAAATTTCCCTGGAAAGAAATGGGTATGTATATCTCAAAAAATGTATTAGTCTTTTATAATTTTTAAAATTCATATACAAGGCTGTTCTACATGAATTAAAATACAATGCAATAACATTTTTTAATTTCATCAGATATGAGACAGCTAGCTTTTTAAAAATTATAAGCTATTACTTGTTAAATTTTGCAATGAAGAACATTGAGAACCAAAATATATTAATTTGTATCAGAAAGACAACACATAGCTTTACTTTCTACAGAATTTTGGTTTTGGGTTAACAATGTCCTTTTTATACCTTTTAGGGATAAATATTCTAAATTTTTGAAATAGCAGTTCTTTGCTATAGATCTTGAGGCGTTTATGATTTAGTGATCTGTGTAGATATTAACCATAATATTGTTAGACCCCAAAAGTACAAGCATTGATACTTTGAATTGTAGTAAAGATTGAAAGACTTGTTGAAAATATATCTGATATCAAATAAATTTAGGGAATTTGACCCTACCTGTTAACACCAATGGCACAAGCATTTCTTACAGACATACAAGATAAGATCACGGGACAATTTTAGAACCTAAGAAGGTCAGGAGGGACAGAAATGGTTAAGACTATATGACCCAGCTACTGAGTTACAAGTTCATCTAAAATATTGGAAGACTCCCATCAACATCTGGAGAGCAGAAGCCTATGTTAATGTTTCTTTTACTTACTGCATATTCAAAATGGGCATTCTCTGATGGACTGTTGGCTTTGATTATTCTTTCTAATTCTGAAAAGAAAAAACCCAAAGAAATTACAATAAGATAGTTAAAGTGCTAGAAAGATCTAATGCTAATAAAAAGAGCTGATCATTTTTGCAGGGTTTAGTCAAGTGCATAGGGGGTCTCTTTTTGTATGAAGGTTACAGAGATATGTTGCTGGACTAGGTCAATTTTTTATAAGTCAAATACACCAATAGGTCAGTAATTTTCATCTTTTGATAAGATATCTGAATATACTGTGCACCACTTCTTATATCTAAACTATAAATGACCCCATTTGGTAAACATCTTTAATTGGCACAAGTTAAACAATACTATTACAAATAAAGATGTCATAGATTGTATATTATGTGATTACTGAGAAATACATGAATGGGAATATATGATATTGCCAAGAAATAAACACAATGTATATGGCCCATACTCGGTTGTGATTTTCACTAGACTTCACTATATAGATAGAAATTAGATCCCAGCTGCACGTCTGTACCCAAAATCCTATGATGGGAACCCTCTGTGGTCAAGCATATGTAAAGATTTTGTGTCATGCATAAATACACTATATCCCTCTTTTCTCATTAATAATCACAAACCAGCCTCAAAGTGATATTGGTAAACATATATTTTTTACACAATTTGAAACAGAAAAAGAAATTGTGTGACCCCTTGTAAAATTTTAGGTTCTTTTCCCACAATGAAAGTGTGTTCATTGATTAACTTTGTGTACTAGATACAGAGAAGTGTATTATGACAGTTTTATTTATGGCTGTTTTTTCACACTTCATTACCTCTTTAACTAATTTAAAATGTGACAAACCGTACAAGATTTCAAATAGGAAAAAAAAAAAGGACCCCTTCACCTAAAATGCAGGAATGGCAAAGTCAATTATTTGCTAAGGGAGACCCCATGACTAGGAAATGAAAAAGGAGGTATGTATACAATAAAATAGAAAGGACAGACAGTGACACATATCACTATATACCTCCTGCTTCAGAACAAAAGAGGGGGTATGATAAATATCATAGTACTTAGTATATTATTTTGTCACTAAGCAACAGTCAACCAGGAAGAAGTTTATCTTAAATTGAATATAAAGGGTGCAAGAATAAAAAAATAGGCTTCTTCACCAAAAACCCTTTGTTATGTTAGTATATAATTTGTTAGTAGGTATATATACCATATTTATTAAGAGAATATTAGAAAATAACATTGATCATTTATAAGCATGGAAATCAAGTCAATTTAAAGCATTACTATACAATGTAGTAAGAATTTCGTAACAGGGGAACACATGCACAGCGGATCATAAATAAATGTCTTTCTAAGAAGAACAACAATCTGACAGTTTCATTCCTTTCACAGGGCAAAATGATTGATTGGTTGTTGGTTGCTTAAGACGTCCAGTGTGGGCAAAATGAATATGTTGAATAAAACACTTCAAATAAAAAGCATCTTGCATGTTAAATGCAAATGGGCAACAGGTTGAATGAGCAAATATTATACTATCCTCAAAGGGATGCTTCATTGTACAGGCAAAAAGTGTAGACTCAAGAGCTTTATACCAGCTCTCTACTGGTAAGCTCCTCAAAAGATGGACCCAATCACTTCTACATTTTGTAAAAAAAAAAGAGTTGGTATCTTAAAGTACAGATACAGCAAAACAATGACATCTTATATTATTGAACAAACTATCAAATCAAATCAATTGATATGCATCACAAAGACAATAGTCTGTGTCATATAATATTGTGATAATATACTGATTAATAATTGGTATAATGCAAATAATCTGTGAACAGCTGTCATTATAAAGGAATAAATATAATGATTTATCGTGATTTATATTTCCTTTAGAGATAAAACAAATAAATGGGAATGTGTCCATGGGACACAGATGATGCTCCCGCTTGCATATAATATTATAAAGGGAAATAACTCAAGCACTGTAAAAGTGATGCTACCCAAATTTGTACTTGATCTGAGTTTTGTGGTAATAAGCATTGTTTATAAGTTTCATAACATTTAGTTGAGGCAAACTTAAGTTAGAGAACTGAAAGGAAAAATTCAGCAATTTTTCCATTTGTAAAGGGGCATAACTCTTAGAACGGTAAAAGTGAAGCCACCAAAATTCGAACTTGATCTGTGTTTTGTGGTAATTAGCATTGTGCATAAGGTTCATAACTTTTGGTTGAGGCAAACTAAAGTTAAAAAACAGAAACGAATATTTCAGCAATTTTTCCATTTGTAAAGGGTCATAACTCTAGAACGGTAAAAGTGTCATCACCTAAATTCAAACTGGATCTGTGTTTTGAGGGGAATAAGCATTGTGTATAAGTTTCATAACATTTGGTTGCGGCTAACTAAAATTAGAGAACAGAAACGAATATTTCAGCAATTTTTCCATTTGTAAAGGGGCATAACTCTAGAACGGTAAAAGTGTCAATACCTTAATTCAAATTTGATCTGTGTTTTGGGGGGAATAAGCATTGTGTATAAGTTTCATAACATTTGGTTGAGGCAAACTAAAGTAAGGGAACAGAAACAAATATTTCAGCAGTTTTTCCATTTGTAAAGGGGCATAACTCTGGAATGGAAAAAGTGTTATTACCTAAATTCAAATTTGATCTATCTCGTGTTTTGGGGGGAATAAGCATTGTGTATAAGTTTCATAACATTTGGTTGAGGCAAACTAAAGTAAGAGAACAGAAACAAATATTTCAGCAATTTTTCCATTTGTAAAGGGGCATAACTCTGGAACGGTAAAAGTGTCATCACCTAAATTCAAACTTGATCTGTGTTTTGGGGGGAATAAGTATTGTGTATAAGTTTCATAACATTTGGTTGAGGCAAACTAAAGTTAGAGAACAGAAACGAATATTTCAGCAATTTTTCCATTTGTAAAGGGGCATAACTCTAGAACGGGAACAGTGTCATCACCTAAATTCAAACTTGATCTGTGTTTTGGGGGGAATAAGCACTGTGTATAAGTTTCATAACATTTGGTTGAGGCAAACTAAAGTTAAAGAACGGAAACAAAAAATTCAGCAATTTTTCCATTTGTAAAGGGGCATAACTCTATAATGATAAAAGTGACACCACCAAAATTAAAAATTAATAATCATGTCTTTGAGTAATATGGGATTGTCTTAGTCTTTGTCATCTGTATAGGATCAGAAACAGCTATAATGCACTTGTTTTAATCTCATATTATTGCTCTTATTGTCCTGTCAAATGTTTATGCCCATTGGGTCCTTAATTGGAATAAAATATTTTTAATTGTACACCTTTAATATCTTGTTTAAAAACAAAGAAAGTATTCCAACTACACTGTATATCAGGATAAACAAAACAGTGATAATTCAAAAGAAATAAAAGAACAGAGTTCCAATGTCCCCTGAGTTGCACATATTTTATCTATCCAAGGTACAAAGGAAATAACTAAAAAAACACTTTTTTTTACTTTTTTTTTTCCTTCAAAATATTTCATAAATATCTTAGAGGAATGAAGGCTTCAGAGCAATTAATGCAATGCGATTTACATTATAATTAATTTTTCCATATAATTAACGTTTTCATTGGGCATAACTCTTTTAAAAATAATTGATCAGCACTGATTTTTGAACTCGTCCAAGACATTGCTGATATAAACCTATGATATAAGTTTCATAAAAATCTGGTAAGCACTGTACACTTGAGAGTGCTAATAAGACCGGCCGTATTTCTATGTCCCCTGCAAGGCATTACGCGGGGGACAAAAAAGGACCAGGCCATTGTAATTATAATACATGATACTTTCTGATTTAGTCACATTCATTTTCTACATGTTAATACTAGTAGATTTTTTGTCTTTTCAGTGTTTGCCCCAGGTCCTAGTTTGTTATCCTCAATTGTACCATCATGCTACAATGCAGTTTTTTAGTCTAGTTATATAAACAGAATTCTTTTAATGCACTTAAAATTTATTGATACCTCTGAAGTTTGAGCTCTCATTGGTGAAATTACGCTCCTCAAAAAAGATCACCCAGCATTCTTTAATTATTTTGTTGGTCATTGCACGGCAGCATTATTGTTTCATGCATATCTATCTATTTCTTGTAGCTTCTTATACATTTATGTATTCTACTTGTTTTCAATGAACTAAAAACTGAATACTATAGTACTAACCATGTATTTTCGCTGAACGACATGACCATGAAAAACTTGACATAATGTCTTTCCCCGTTCCATGTAATACTATACACTCCAATCAATAGAACTATTGTCTGTTTTTACTAAACCCTTATTAAATTCTAAACTTTTTCCAGAAGTATTATCACTATTTGCCATGCAATTTTTTTGTACACTTAAATCAGTACCATGATGTAAATAAATAATGTTATTATTTTCTTCTTTTGTTAACTAAGAAAAACTACAGATTCAACTCTATCATTATAAATTTTCCCATGTAACAGTTAATGATCACATTTTAACTGAAATGTGAATAATATATTCACAAAATAGCATTTTGTAACCAGAAAAGGAAAATCCCAAGAGAAAACTCCAACTAAACAGAAAACTATTGCATTTCATGTATAATTTATATTATTTGATAAAGACAATGATTTATTTATTTATTGTATATATATAGAACTTAATCAGATGTTGTAAACTATATTGGTGGTATATAATTATGTTTTGACAACAAGCTACTGCATTATTTTAAACCTGATTAGAAAAGATTCTGAACAAGATAAAAACTTGTTATATTTCTGGCTTTCTTAGGATGTTCAACTCCAGAAGGTTTGACACTGAAACTAGTCTGGTAAAAGGATGTTTTCAATATCTATCACATTGCCATTTTAGAAGTAAGAAAAAAGAAAGATCAACACAATTTGAAAAAGAAAATGTGTCCATAGGACACCATGTCCCGCTTGAACTAATTTCCCTTGTTTAACGAACCTTAAAATCAGGGTAAAAACCATCAGATAGAACATGTGAACTAAGATTCAAGTTGATGTGACTCAACTA